TTCCTACTCACAGATTCCTTGCCGTCGCTCTGGCATGGCTGGCTGCATTGCACCTAGAAATTATCTCAGGATTAGTTCCATATATAGAAGCCTTAACCCTCTCTAGTTTCCCATATAGTGGTTGAACGCTTGCATCGAGAGATATTTCACCCTCTGCAAGCTAATGCGTGCTCTGCGATGTAACGTTGGCTGCTGAAACTACAGGCCAAAATAACAATTTGCGTCTGTTTCAAGTTCTTCGTAGTGCACATCAGATTTTTTGACGCTCCAGCGCTTACACGCTTCGCTATCTGCGTGTTGTGCCGTGGTCGTACGAAGAGCTGCAGCGGGTAGAGTCGCTTGATTCGCCTTGCTGTCTCGCGTGCAAGTTGTGTGGGCGCGCATTCTGTAACGACAAGTAGTATGTCGAAATACGAATTGCTGCGTCCAGCACTCGTGTTCGGAAAGGCGCAAATTCGTAGCATGCTTCAGGAGAAGCTTCATAATCACCCGCTACAGATGAGACAGGTATCCTAATTAACTATACGGATTCTGGTTGGACTGATAGCGGAATTATAGACTAGTGTCGCTGGCCACTTTGTTGCGCTGAAGCCCACTAAGGTGTACATACCCAGTTCACAGGGTCCACTCTGGGGTTACGCGTAGAAGCCCAGAAAGTCCTGCTTCTATGCACTTTAAGTGTGATACTTTCCTGTTTTTCTTACGTTTCCTGGGAGGAGAGTTCATCTGCTCACACACTTCGGAAACCGTTAGTACATGCTGCACTACTTGATGCATACGTCCGTTACACTCCGCAATTCAATAAAATATTGGGAAACCTGAGAATGATGTCAGGAGGAAGCCACCCAGTGGTGAGGACATGTTTTACATAAGGTTTGCTTGACGCAGCGAGAAGGGGTAGCTTTCCGTATGAAATACAGCAGCCATCAGTTGCAGACATCTGCTTTGTGATACGCCGCAGTTAGACACCTTCGGTTAAGCAGTGATGATGTTTTAGTTCAGATCTGTGATGTTTGCAGGTGGCATACGCTACGAACGCGGGTATTATGAAGCGCGGCTGGAGATCACAGCGCTTTCTCTCGCACAAACCATTTGCATAACACGTGGAAACCTCGGCGTTGTACTTTTATTAGCACATTGCCAAAAAAGGAACTTCATTTTTCAGATCTGTCCTTCGAAACCTGTTACAGAACCGGAGGATGCAGTGCAAGGCTTAGCATACGTGGATTGTCCCGCACGCGGCAATCTATAGACAGGAAACATCAACACTTCACAGTTCAGTCATTGCTGTCGAAGCGTATAAGTGTAAATTATGCGAGTCATCCGAGTGATTTGGCAGCAGCGAGTTTTCACCTTTCCACCGGCGACATCGAGCAAATATATTAGCAGCATGATCTTTCAAAATGGTACATGCTCTAGGTTTCCGCGCCCATTGTCCGTTTGCTTGGAAGGTGCCCGTTTGCATGCTAAATTTTATTAGCCCTTGCGTATAACAAGCTCAAAGCTGGTCGTTCGAAGCAAAACTCCATTATAGCTAGCAATACGACTGTCGCATACTTGTATTGAATGATGCGGCTTTTCTGACAGAATTACTTGAAAAACTGCGCGTGTGGCCTACTGGCCTCCAGCGGAAAATTCAGATCATCGCACTTTCAGCTTGTTTAGATGCAATGATTTATCTAGTGGCTTCTTCAAAAGCAGGAATTCAATACTTAACTAAAGCGCATCGCGCTTTACATATGTTCCATTCCAGCTGCTCTATGCAGTCTGGCATGCGCATTAACGTATCCGAGCTTCAGCTACCCTCTCGCTGCGCTCCCCCCATCAAGTGTCATCAAACCTAGAGGACTATGCACCCTCGACACATGATTCTTCGGTTGCAGTGATAAGGAGCGGTGCTCTCTCTCTTGACAAAAGAGGGACAGCTACTTACTGCTGTCCTCAATTAAAAGCCTTTGGGCGCTGCAGTTGAAGGAAGAAAAAGCATTGAACTGAATTATCACACAGTTTGCGTGTGAACGATTTGGTGTCGTTTCACCATACTGCCAATATTGCTGGCGAATCGTTCCTGGCCTTTGTAAATGGACGATAGTCCTAAAAAGGCGTAGCTATGGTATCCAGGAGTTGTCATCCCAGTGACGAAATCACTTCTTCCAATTTAGACCTTCTCTCTCGCGAGTTCTTCGGCATTAGTACTTGTTTGCATATTTGCCAAATATGCAAGCAGTGTAGAGTATGACTCACTGTTCACAGTACACTACTAAAGAACTTCAGTGCAACTTCCAGCTCCAGATGAGACCGGCTGAGGGACTTTTGGTTCATCGGCAGGTTGTGAATAGCCAAAATAAATTAACGCTTCAACATGTCACTCGCACAGTAAATTCCAACAAACTCCAAAAAGTGTAACTAATGAAGACGATGGCGAATTCAGCGTCTCAAGTCTGTGAGCAGCAAGGAAGGGAAAAAGACTGCAGCTCGTGACAGCCGAGATGGAGCACATTTTCCTTTACGGTGAACGGCAGACGGCACATACCTGTGGCAGCACGCATCTCGAGACATCTGGGAAACAAATCAAAAGTCAATAGCCTGAACCTTTGAGCTTGCAGAATAATTGGTGATAAGCAAGCGAATGGTGTGCGGTAGAAAATAAGATAATTTGGCATTTTCGACGGCTTTCCGGGAGAGCGGCGACGTGCATGGTCGCGGTGGTTCCCGTAGGAGAGAAAAGGAGATAGATACTTTTGTAGAGGAAAGGTGCCAGGTAGCAAGGTACTCATTTGGTTTTTCCCCGTGCTGAAGTTAGAACCACTATGCTAGTTCTCCTCTGAAGCTGTTGCCCATTTGATTGGCGCTTTTCCTCCGTTCTAAATTTGAAAGTTTTTGCACCTGGTTTTTGTTCCACAATGTATATATATATATATATGTAAGACAAGTAATTGTGACGCGCTAGGCCTAGCTGCATTTAAGAAATACTTTTGTTTGTTTGTCCAATGAACTTCCCGACTCACGTTAAATTTTGTCGACCGTATCACAGTTCATTCCAATCAAATTCAAGGCCAAATGCTACAAATGCGTGAGAGCTCCAAGCGCGTCACAGGACTCCATTAAGCAAGAGGCTTGTCGAGCCAACGAGCGTGGCTCATACCGAAGAGAAGCAGCTGTAACTGCCACATGATGCACGACAAATCGTCGCAAAAGGGCCTGCGTGACGTCATTCAGCAGGAATTTAGAGATCCTGTGTCGTGCCCTACGTTAACTATCTACAGGATGCCTACGCGATCGCTTTCTATCACTGTCATGGAGGTGCGCGCAATTTCCATTCAAGACCTAGTTGCAGACACTTCGAGGCTCATCATGGAATCGTTCTGCTTTCCTGCAAATGCTCGCAGTGATTTTGTTATCTTATATATTTCCGAGGATGCATATGCTGGTGCCCCTTAAGCCTCTCTTGCGCAATCACCGACAGAAACAGCCCTCGTCAGGCTGTCTGTGCCCCAGTTGAGGGCTCTCTAGAAATGGGAATGCCACCTGCGGAAACAGCCATTTTGGCCTGATCTGTATGGCGCCCAACTAATTTGAGGGCAGAAAAGTTTTTTGAGATGAGTCTCTGAGTGTTGATGTAACACAGCAGAGCACACAAACTTGCTGCCCAACAGAAATACTGAAGCCTTGCCCAGGGGGCAACACCACCACGTGGGCATTCTGCCCCCTGAAAATTCAGAGTAGACTGCACGTTTACTATTATTCCAGTAGCTGGATAGCTACGCCCTTTCCCCAAATACTCCTAATTACGTTGCCACGAATCTCGAACGTATTGTGACGCTATAACTGGGATGCAGTATGCTCGCGCATCTGGCCAACACATGCGCCGTGGACAGCTGTACAGTGTTGGCTCCAGCAAACATTTACACGTAATATACTAAGTGTGAGAATATAACTCAGCAGACTATCCTTTCTAGCGCGCCCTAAAAAGTGATTAGTTTATCCATGAATAGAGACTGTTTTGAGGCTGTGTGCTTCTTATATTAAGTATGAATGCTTGCTGAAGCCAAATACTGTATAGCTGTCGACAGCGCATGTGTTGGCGAACTGCGCGAACGTGCTGAGCTTTCCGCTGATAGCACGCTCAGATCGTGCGATATGCCTGGCAACGTAATTAATTGCCTTTGAGAAGAGAGAATCTTCCAAGGAAATGTACAAAGCATTATAGAAGGCACTGGGACTGCTGTAGGATTGACGAGCACTCAGCCATGGCGTCTTGAAGTTTAAGCGGCTATGTGAATTTCGACAACTTAGTTATCGTGACTTTGTTGAATAGCGTGACAACAGCAATGCTTGCTGGGCTAGTACGTCTGTTCACTTCTGAAATTCAGCAAGCTCATTCATGGGAGCATGTGAGGCTATTGGATTCCTTTTTGTCGTAACAAATCGTTGTGTGATGAAGGGTTAGCCAAGAATTCCTGCTGCCACGCACACTGTATAAGCATAAATTGTGTCTTGTTTGCTTTGTTAAGCGCAAGTGCCTTAGCGATGAGGGACAAATATTGCTGAGCTTCGTAGCATCGAAATGACCGAGTAGCTACCAAAGGGTCTCCACAGGGAGAGTCGTAAATAAGGCCAGCAGAATAATACACTACAATTCAGAGCCAATAAGTCTTTCACTTGAGAGAAAGTTCCATAGGCGGTTTTTGACGAAACGATTAAATCCTTTCGCGCAGCCATGAACAGTTCGGTGTTCAGGGCAGATACAGATCTGTGAAGTCCGTGCGCTTTTAGCTCACTAGCCATGCTGTCACTCTGAGTTATTTCTGTGCAAAACTGCGGAGTAGTCAGTCTCTGCATATCCTCTACAGCTTCCTTCACACGGTAGAAGCATGAATGGCCTCCAATGAAGCGGTAACGCAAATACTAGTGTGATGCGCACGGATATGCAGAGGTTAGTATGGCTGTAGAAGAGGCTCCATTCAAAAGCTTCAGTTTCTGCAGGGGACGCAGAGACCTTATTGTCCCAAGTCCACTTCGGCTGTTTGCAGTCGCCGCTGCAACGCTAGTTGGCTCTGCTGCAAAGCAAAATTTTCGTTTCGAAGTGCTCGAATCATTTCGTGCAATCGTTGATTTTCTGTTCTCTGCTGCAAAAAAAATTGCTTCAATTCATTTTTCGATTGTTGTAAAACTGCCAAAACTTCCTCCTTAGCTTCCTGCACGACTTCCTCTGTACGGCCAGTCTGAAAGCCCTCCACAAGATCAGAGTTGGGGATCGCCATCTAGAGGCAACAATGCAGTATGACAGGTATGAAGTCCACTAACAACGATTTCGGTGGTGAAGCCAAGTTGGATTGTATTGCTCACCTGCACGATTTTCTGGGACTTGAACTGCTGCACCTGCCGTTGGAGAGATCTTAGCTCTGAATCGATGATGCATTCGAGTTCTCGAATTCGATGCTTAAGACCCGACCCGCTTGTCGGTGTCAAGAATGAACCCTCAGGGTCCTGGGAGTTTTGTGAACACGTTGGGAACTGCATCTTTCTACGCTCTTTAAGCAGAAAGAGAAAGTCAAGTAAGTTTATTTGCAGACTACGAAACAAATCGCCAGAAAAACAGAGAAGTCCTTTTGGGCAAATCCTGAACGGTGGTTCATGGGAAGAATTGTGCGCGGAGCCGTAGGCCTGGAACATGCATCTCGCTTCTCAGGAGTCGTACCATTCCGTTCATTCTAGAGCGCGAATGCGTTGCTTTTTCATCGCAGTTCCGTTGTACCAGGAGGTCTGAGACCCTATGAAGGTCGCCTTCCTATTCGCGCAGAGCAAATCGTATCCATAGGCAGTCTGCTTAATTCGAAAGAAACGAAGTGCAGCATTTCTCAGTGAATAATCTCAAGCACGGCCTAGAAGCCACTAAAATAAGTGCGCTAAGGTCTAGGGTTTCTGCCAGCATTGCCAGATTAACGTAGAGCTCCAAGCTGCCTGAAGAGCACTGCGCTTTCCCCTGAAGCGGGGAGGAATCGCTAGCAAACATTTGCTGTCGGGAAAACTTTCTGAGATAAACACCTATGTTTGTGTTTGGCCTGATGATAGCAGGAATAACGCTGGAAAGATAGATACGTGGCGGAAGAAGTACGACGACGCCCAGTGACCTGGAGAGACTTACCGTCCGTAGGTCACCGACGGCCCTTAACTTTGCAACGTTGAAGCAAATCCATGCTCGATTTTCTAAGGCTTTCGAAAGAAATGTGGCTTGGATTGTATAGTGGTGCCCCTGTAAAAGCGGCTGACATCCTTTTGCCTGTGAAGGCTGCCGTGCCCCAGTCCAGCCCCAGCAGCACTTCTGGCAATGTGGCATTTTGTGTTTATGACATGGGATCAAGTACGATGGGCTTAATTTTGTCAAATAATTTGAGATTCTGTTTGCCTTTCGATTTGATTAATATCTTTTGAGGGCATTTCTTCAGCGCAAGTATCAGGCTGTGCGCTGTCGACTTGCTCCTGCTGCACGGGCAGAAACTAGCCTGCTCACCTGCGTTTCGCTCGAAAGCACACGTGTGCTTCAGATAGAATTTGCCTAGTGGTTAAAGATCTGGTATCTCTCAATATAATGAGCTCGCTTACAGTCCTTCAGGTCCTTATCTAAAGGCAGCGGACATCTCTCGTGTTCGCTGCAAGCGCCACGGCAGCAGCTCCTAGACCTGCGTTGATATCTACATTAAGCGTAGTCTTTCACTTTGCGTCAGAGCATCGCTTTTATGCTTTTTTCTTTGTGGGGTGCCTCGTTTGGTGGCAAAAGTCACCGTGGCCCGCTTCTGGAGTGAGGAGCAGATGAATGGGCGAGTGCACCCACGTTTCTCGAGTTGAGCTATTTTAGTATCTAACTTTAATGTACATAGCTCAAGGCGGCGACTCAGGAGGTTACTGCCCGAGTAAGAGTACGCTTGCAGGCACCTATAAGCATTTGGAAGGACCAGTGCGTCTCTATAAGAATACCAACCTACATCGGTGTTAGTATGCTCCAATAGCTTTGGCACACCCCTGCTACTTCCCAGCATCCTCATTTGTGGATTCTTTCGCCAGACAACAAGGAAACGAGAATGGGTTCCCAGCGAGCGCTTCCTGAGGGGAGCCTTACTGAGGAAGTCTACAACTTAATAAAGAAGCAGCATTTTGAGGAAGCTGGGATAATTGTCAAGCGTCTTTTACAGCGCTTTTATCCGTCAGAAGACAAAGAATTGCATCATCCTCTGTTGGAGTTGCTGGGATACTGCTTATATATGATGAAGGATTTTGAAGGGGCAGCACAGGTCTATAAGAGGTTGCACGAAGCATTTCCAGACTCTGCAGAATACAAAGTGAGGCACCAGCCCTTGATTGAACGCCCGTTAACTGGAAGTGCACAATGCATTTTTGTTGCTTACATGCACGATCTGCGTGTCAAAACTATTTGTTTTTCCGTTCTAGTTTCTGGCCTTTTTTTGCAGCTGCACACAGCGTACTGCCTCCTTCAGTGTGGCACATCTCACGTAAATAGTGCCCCCGCGGAAATCTCAAGCTATAGACAAAGTCTAGAGGTTGCTGACTCAGTATCCTTCCAAAGGGAAGCTTGTAGAAGTACATCCAGCTACATCCCCGAGTTCGAGGAAAAGGCAAACGGCTGTAGGCCCTGGAACTCAAGCCTAAATTTAAGCCTGCATTGCACCTAGTCTGCCTCACTAAAAACGGAAAATACTTGAGCCATTTTTGTTATCTAAATGATATTCAGCATCTTGGCCGGAGGAATTTAAGCAAACCGATTTCGCTTTATTGGAATCAGCTGCGCTCTACCGACGCGGCAACTTCAAGGAAGGCCGAAGAATAGCTGCTGCATCATCTAGCGAACTTGGGTGGACCCCTAGCCTCGCATACAATGAAGCTCTTTGCGCATTCAAAGTAGGCAGACCACAGAGCTTACACACCCGGGAAATGACTCCTATTTCTAGTCGCTCGCAACTTTGAAAATGCGATAATTGCCACGTGCCAAGCAGCGTGGCAAACCTAAATTAATGCACTACTGACTGCTGTAACAGAACTTTGGACTTCATGTTATTGCGGCTTGGCGTTAGCTTGGCGAAGTGAACGAGGCTGTTGAGCTTGCTGAGAAGATCCTTTCTGTGTATCGCGAAAACCAAGTTAACGCTGCTGTTGCTGCTGATGGATTTTCAAATGCTATGCTCTGCGGAGGCTCTGGTTTAGGAAATGGGATCTATCAGCCCTTTGCTGAAGAAGCTGTGGTGCGTGAACGCCATACAGAGAGCTCGCTGGACCCAAACCCTGCGTTCTACACTCGCATAAACTTCATGTCGCCTCAGCACGGGTTTGAAAGATTTTGTGCGTACTGGCGCTCTACAGGTGGAGGCGGCAAACATTTGCTGTGCAGCAGATATCGCTAGAAATCATATAAATCCTGCAAAGGATTATCTGTGTTTGCTATCTCTTAGCGCCACTGACAGTGAGGCAGGCATCTAGCGTATGCTCCTCCAGCAAGCACTTAAATAGAGAAATCCAGAATTCGCATTCAGGCTGTGCGTCTATTAACTTTCTTTCCTGAGTGGAGAGGAATGCAAAAGAGGCTTTCTTTTACTGTGCAGGAGCAGATTGCGTGAGTTTGCACAATAAGGCGCTAACAATTGCTAGCTCTGATCCGAAAGAGTCCATCAGAATGCTTGCAAAGCTCCTTGAACAGCCTTCATGCCCGCCTACAACCATACGCAACCTCCTTATTCTCTATTGCAAGTCAGCCAAAACTTCAACGAGTTGCTTCGGAGCAACCTCTGCAGTAGCTATTCCGAGAGAATGTGGCGTGGTGTGTAATGAGTCTGATACAGCCACTGGGCATCCATGCACCTTCATCGTGCCTATGTCAAATTTTGTGTTTCCAGACATGGATACGTTGACGCAGCTGAAGAGCTTCTGGTAAGCAATTCGAGAGCATCACTAAGGCAATATAACTGCGGTCCAGGTCATCCAAGAAACTCTGGCTTTCGAGCGCTGTTGCATAGCGATATTTTCCGAGATTTCCACTGATCATCACTGAATTCATAGACAACGTAGCATTTACCTGAAACTCAATTTTGTGACGAGTGGACCTAGAACAGTATGCGTTTCGACGGTGCTTTCAAGAAACTGCATCAATGGAAGGTGCCTTGGTGTGCGGAATTGATTGACTAGGCCCGTTTAGACTAGAACAATAAAGTGTGCTCTAAAACGTCGGGGAAGTAAATATCGCGTTTAACGGCTACTGCGAGAGATAACAGTTGCTTTTCAGATACTGGGTAACACATAGAGCTGTTTCTTTTGTATCTGTGCAGACCGCTTGCAGCGATTTTCCCTTGCAAGAACTAAGTGAGTATGAGGCAGGATTTCTGAAAAGCATTATCTTGGTAGGCTCACATATGCATCATGCATTCTCTTTGTTTACTACGGTCTTATGACAAGACAACATGTGCACGACAATAAGCAGATTAGAAGAAAGTCAGCGAGACTCAAGCAGGTTAACGGTTTGCAATACTACTCGTTCAGTGCACCTTTTTGACAACTTACACCCTTCAGGGGCATTCTTCTCCCGTTGCAGCCGAAAGGCATCTTGAAACGCTCGAAAGACAAATAGGAGAGGAGATACATGGCCTGCACGGAGACACTGTACGTCTTTACACCTTTTTATTCAGAGTAGCAGGCGAATCAGAGTTGTGGAATCTGTTGCATTGATTTGCTTGCTTTGATACAGTGTTTTGCACCATTCACAGAAGTAAGCCTGCCGCAACACTTACAAAATGCATAAACACTAAGCATTTCTAGTCTTATTCAATTGTCTCTCCTGCTTTGAACAGGGCATGTGTTCCTGCTCTTCAGCGATGCGTATCCAAAGTTCAACCAGAGCGACTCTGCAGGAACGTATCGACGAATTGATGCTTGTGGGTATCTCGATGAAGACGGCTGCATTCAAACATATAGACTGTCTTTCAAAGCACCCTAAAGCCATTTTTCTCACTTTGATTGGCGCACTGCAGGTTATAATGTCGCTTGCCAACTTCTACTGCAGAACAGGAGAGCTCTTCAAAGCGGAGCTGTGAGTTTGCCTTGGCAACATGCAGTACCATTGAAACAACGAACTCTTAATTGGATGGCTTTCAGCAAATGGATGAAACCAAAAACTACTCGTGGCAGCTTTAACACGTGTGCTGCAGCCTGCTTCGTCGTTATGGAGACCTTTGCAGCGACCTTACTTGCTGGCGCATCAACATGGGGCATATTCTCTTCATGCAAGTACGGCAATACTAGCAATTCGTGTCTATCGATATTATGCTCGAGATTCTACATATCTGTGGTATTTTGTAGTAACAGAACCGTATAAGTGTCTTCGGCATATTGCATCTTACATACACTTTTACGCAGAAGAAGTATGCCACTTGCCTTGCTTTCTATGCACCAAGCATCCGGTCTGCTGCATGCAAGGAGCCATTACAGTGGTGGGAAATCACTGTCATGGCCAACGCATTGGCTGCAAACATTATTTTGGGTAACCTAGATGAAGCACAGCAACTTCTAAAGTAAGCAACATCTATGAAAGCCGCTTTTGAATTCAAACGCCAACGCGTACATGAAGGATGGTCCATTCCAGTGCGAGCAAGGTTTCCAAAAGTGGATCTACATACAGCAGACCGGTATAAAGTAAAAGCCGAAACCTGCTGCACACACAGCCTTCCCAGTTATTGTTTGTGGGCTGCTACTCAGCGTGCTGAATGCCGGAGTTGAACCAACTGCTACTGAGGCAATAACCGAATTTCAATGTAACAATTCTATTCCTAATTCTTGCATTGCCAAGCTGATTATTGGAACGCTGTACTGCGCTGAAAAGTGTTACGACTATGGCATTAAGGCTGTGATAGACAGCCTGGAGCCGTTGGAAAAAGCCTTCAATACAGAAACATGGTATGTTTCGCAGTGCTGTTTCTGTCAGTTCACGAGAGACTAAACCACGCAAATTAGCAAAGTGTATACCATTCGCTACATGGAATCTAGCCATAAGCCTGAATCGTCGTCATGTAAATGAAAATGCAGGGCACACTGCAAAACGTGCATCGGAGCTCTCTTGACAGACTTGGCCCTAGGAAGTTTCATTATGGATGAAAACTTAAAGTGGCACACTGCGTCATTTTTGCACAAAATAGAAGCAGAGTCAGGAAGACTGAAATGTAATGAGGTGAGCCACACAATTCGCTAAGGCGTCTCAGCGGAGTTCCTGATCGTCTAGTCTGTGGGTATGCAACGCAATTCCTTGTTTTTAGTCTTCCGGGGAATGCGTCAACGAACGTTGTCATATTGTAGGTCCATCACTTCACAGAACATTCTTAAACTAAGTTTAATGTGCTACTAACAGCTTGGGTGACCTGCTACTCAGGGAGCCCATACACTTTCTCATGAGGCACAGGCCCTACGGCAAATGCTCTCGCTCCTAGCCTAAAGTTGGTAGGTGAAAAACAGAGCATATGTGTTGAAGAACTTGTATGCTGCATTGCTGGAAAAAGCTGTATCATGGCAACAATCATTATCAAGTACCCAGTGGCTACCTGTGTAAATGCCTCGCAGGTGACTAGATTTCCACTGACTCGCTATTTAAACATAGTGACTTTTAAGGTGTGATGTGGTTTGCTCAGACTGATAGGACCATCACTTGTACTTCGATGGGTTTGCACAGAGAGCTTGTCCTGTTACCTTCTTGCGTAGCTGATCTGTTCCTGTGTTCTGTTCCGGTAAATTCTCGGACCTAGTAACTAACTAACGGGAAGGCAGGTTCCCTGAAGACAGGCCATAGGTTGCAAAGTGGTATATTTCAGAGGACTCAGTGCGGGAGCTAATTACTGTTGAAGACTCCACGCATAAATCTCGTCTCAACTGCAGAAGGAGCCACTTATATAATTGTGTCCAGATGAGGACAGAGCAGGTTCTCCAAATAATTTGTCCTGGAATTTTGGGGCTCCAGTTCTGTTGTATTCATTCGCGGGCACGCATTAAATGCTCTCGGTGGCAAAAACTTGTACTTTTAACCTAATTACCACGTTTATGCAGTTTAATGGACCAAAACTGTGGTATAGTGTGTACAGCGATGTTGAATTGCACATTTCAAAGTATTTGGCCCGATGTTGAATGCCTGAAAGCAGTTGCAAAAGCTCACCGCACAGGCGTTTTCATTGGGGGGTTAGCCATGCATTTTTTGATTCCCGGCTGTCGTTTTTCAAAAGAAAATTTCTCTTACAACGATAGCAAGGCCAAAGTGAGAAATTCCTTGCTTGCACTCGATGCCATGGGGTACAAAAATATTTTTTTCGTAGTTATCTCCATTGGGCCAACTTTGCGTTTTTCAAGGAAACCTAGAGCTTCTGTTTGAGTCCGACCCAAAATGTGAGTAGCGTGCTCCCAATTCGTTTTTCTACCGCTAGGGAGCTTCGATGCGACTAACGCTTCAGAGAAACTGCCGAATTTCATTTGGTTCGGGAACATCATTCTTGCTCGCAGCTGAGTAGCGTTTCAATGCACACATTGACAGCCAAGGCCATAGCCTGGATGGCCATGTGGCATAGTGTTACTACGATTGAACGTGCTGTTTCGTAGCATCTGCTCTAGCTGACCGGAACATGCATTCAGATAAGCTCAAATCAATGGCAAATGGTCCGACATACCCGTTAATTCGAGTACCAACCTTCTCTAAATTAGACTTGAACTAAGCTCTTCTGGTTTGCGTGTTGTTCAGCTGTAACGCTATTCCAGTTTGTCACCGAGGCCATGGCCTGGTTCGTCCATGTTTGCATTGAAGTGCCATTCAGCTGCGCGCAAGAATAACAACCTCTGACGAAATGAAGTGCCGCGGTTTCTCTGAGACTTTTGTCGCATCGCAGCTTCCTAGTCATACAAAATAACGAATCGTCGAGTAGCCGCGTAATTCGTTTCCTTCTCGCCTTGAACCCGCTGATAAGCCATTGGCAATAAGGGGTAAACCGGAAAGTGTATTAGGATAGGCTGAAATCAATGCCCAATGGTGCGACATGCCCGTAATGGGAGGCGGTGCAGACACGAATGAAGTGGCCACGGAGAAGGGTGAACTCTAAAAATACTGCAAAGCAAGCTACAACTGACAGACACAACTTGCAGAACGTACCAAATCTCGCGGATAGCAGCTCGTTTTAAGCATATTTCATTTTCACGGGAAACAGGTGTGCCCATGCATGATCACCTTCTTTCATGCTCTACTCTGCAACAGGATAGAAAAGCTATTCAGCAATTTTGAAGCCAGTTGATATCTACCTCGCTTTTCAGCACGTTCATTCCTAGGAACACTCAAAGCAGTTTGAGCAAGTACCTTGGCCACTGTGTTTGTGTCGACACCACATAAAGCCATGGGGAAATTCTTTTCCATATTCTGTTGTCATGCAATAGGCCCGATGGAGCAAGCCAATACTTTTCCTTGCAAACTTAGAATTGACTGCTCTCCACCGTCTGCTCCTGCACAGGGCAAAGCAACATCGGTTAATCAGAACAGGATGAATATTATTATTTGCTCATGATATTTTTGGGTTTATAGTGGCATCACTGTGTTTTCAGTTCTTGCCTGGTTGACTCCTGCCTTCAAGTTTTTTCGTGTTGCTCTGTCAAAGGAAACACGCCGCGTGCCTACTCATAGACTTAGGGGATTCTCATTTCTGTTGATTCCATTCTTTGTTGATTCCTGGGTAATGCCATTAAAATTGTTTTTGTATCAAGTTGGTGCAGTCGTACGAACTGCTGCCCATAGTTCCAAAGCATGGCTTTGCATGCAGTGAATATTGCTTTACCGCCTACGACTTGGTGTATATTAAAGCGTATGCCTCTGCGTACAGTACAGCAAAATGTCGCACTTTTTGAATGGAAAGGGCAACTAGCAATCTGCCTCCTCTGCAGCTAGGGCGCCCTTGGAGACCTGCCAATCACGATTATAAGAACGTCGACCTGCCAAACAAGGCAGAATTACGTCGCGTGATTTCTATTAGTTAGTTTCAAAGGGGATGCTGAGGGAGCTGTTACAAACACAATTTCGTCCCACCACCTCAGACACAAATGCGTTCATCAGTCATTTCATTAAAGCAAGTTGTCGCACCTCCCATTGTCACCGTTTGCCGAATGGCAGAACCAGTAAGAAAGGTAGCAAAGATAGGGCTAGAAAACTCGTGAATTCGAACACCGGTTGTTCTTCGAAACTGTATTACGAAATTGAGAGACAATTTTTAATACGGATGCCGACCATCTTTATTAGGATGATTCTTACTAGGAACGTTTTTGCAATGCATTTCTTGATGAAAAGGGTTGCTAGACAAAGCGATGGAAGAGTTTGCAGTTGCGAGCATTCCGTCTCTCCTCCCTCTAATATGCTCCACTGCCTTGTTGCTACTCATCGCAGAACGCTGGTTGTATCATAAATACTAGTAGGTTTCACGGTGTGAACTCTTTACTCAAGCAACTCCCCGACCAGGATTAGTCCAGCTGAGGAATCCGCTTGCGTGCATAATAACTGTTCGAAGCTGAGGGCACTGCTTTGCCTGCTGGGTGCTCCTGCTTTGCATTTTAGCAAGGCAATGATTCTGTTTCGGATTAATTTGTGTGTACTAAAATTTGTTGCTTGGGCATACTCGTTCTCTCTAGTCCTAAAATGTAGTGAGCTGAGCTGAAATTGATGGATACCTGCGAAGACTCTGAGTAATTTTCTGTGTTGTGTTAACGAGGATCATGCACTTGATAGCTTCATATACGCTGATGGCGAGCCAATGGCGACAAGTCGTCAGTAATTTCCAATAGTTAAAGATGCAGGCTAGCTTTCATTCTTATTAGAGGCTATTCACTGGTGGCAGGGCCTCGTAGGCCTTTGCAAATATGCTGGTTAATGCCATTTATTTCGGCGGATCCATCCGGTACGTGAGGATTCTTGCGTACTCTAAGGGAAAGCAACTCATCAGTCAACTAGGAACCAGATAAGCAGGTGAGCGTTGAGTCACAAGAATCTTCAGCGCAAAAGCACTACTCCCAACTCGAGAACTTCAGCAGTTGATCCAAACACAAAATTGTCGAAGGCCTCATCTTATGGTGGTTGAGCCTCTCCGTCACATTTCAGAATTACCTCCAACACTGCACGGCGGTTGCGCTGTGTGCTTCTGCAAAAATAAGTAAGGGACGCCTCAAACCTCGGTGAATTATGTCATGCAGAGCTAGAATTCAGCTTTGTTGCACACAAGCACTTGTGTTGCTTCAGTCCACACTATGTTATTCGAAGCAGGAGGTAAGAAAACGTGATTCTAGTATAACATGAACTGAAGTGCTACAGCGGCGCCCTATTTCTCCCACCATTCCCTAGGAACAGAACTCATACATACGGGGAAAAAACAAGCAATGATTCAAGTAGTGCAGCAAACCTGCACGACACTTATGCCACCAGAGGAGAACACCCAAATAAAATATCGATAAACCATCATAGTGCACTACGTTTTACGAGCGAACAAGCCCATAAGAGCTTGCAGAGAAATGCTGAACCGTGGCTGGTCAGGCTCTTCAGCACGAGTAGAATTTTGCCTGTGCTTGTTCAGCAGTGAGACGATGCCAAATAAAACACAATTGCATGCGCTGCCCAGCAGCGAAAGAAATTTAAGACAGTTGGGTTTTGCCGATATTAGTAGGCCAGGGCGACGAAAAACAATGAGGTACGAAAGCTGCTTAAGAAGCAGAATAGGGCTGCTCCGACGCATTTACGCGGAAATAAATGCTGAATACATTACAAAAGAAACTTTGTAAAGGCATTTTAGAGCGTGTATTGTAGGCCATGGAAGTACCAGGTTAAACGAGGGCAGCGGCTCTGTACATGTGGCAATGTTACGTGCTGCATGCGCGATTGATTTTCAGTAAAGCTTTGGGGTTTATCTCTCGAGCGTTTTCGGTGTCTTAAATGTGTTGAAGAGCTCATAGAGATTTACACCTACGCCTGCCGCTACAGGTAACGTATTGGATCTATAATAGCACTGACACATTACAGGAACTGAGCGCAGAAATCTACTGCTACCTTGTATAATAATGAATGTACATAAGCGGGCAAACTAATAAGACTAGTGGATGTTTCAGCTTGTATTTTATTTTTCTCCCAAATTTGATGCCCGTGTTTCAGCTGCCTCCCGGTGACCGTGTCGTCAAGATGCAGTCCAGAGGCCTGTTTTCATTTGATCCATACTTCTGGCTGAATTTTCTGGATAGGCTACCAATGTAAGCAACCCAAATATCTTCTCACTATTTCATGAGAAAATAACTTTTGTCAGAAACTCACAAAAGTTGAGCATGCCAAGGACAGCTTGGCCGCAGCCCTACGCCAGGAATCACTACGAGTGTTAATGCAGCAAACGGCGACATTCGCTATATAGTACAAACTGTCTTGTTCACTGTCTTGTTCCACAGAGCGTAACGGTATGCAACCAGGCATTTGATGCATTTACACTCTTTCCAGACCTTAATGAAGGAACACAGCATTTCAAAAGGATTACAGTGCTGGCCACGCGGTGATTCGCCCGCATGCCAGCATTGCAGATGGAACTGAACGTGCTCCTTTTGCAAAATTTGGCAAAATATTTAATCATTTTGGCAAGATAGCAATGCAGTGGAAGTGTAAGCGCCGTCTTTCCTCTCCACGGCGTGCATTATTTGGACTCTTTGCACTTCGTGAATAGGGAACCCCCCTGTGTATAAAGAAACCGACAAAGTGGCAACTTTTCGACGAAGTATTAGCCACCAACCAAGTTCGGAGAGCATCCAAATCAAGCTCTCCAACAAAAAGCAGCAATGCAGGAAGCCGGAGAGACCCTCTCCGGTGGAAGAAATGGTAGCTTCTGCAGTCAGGAGCATAGCGTACCAACTAGTCCTTTAGGAACAAGCATTGCTTTCGACGCAGTCAGTGGCCTTGAAAACTTGCCTTCTTCCTCGGAAAGGCACGTGCTTGATCTGCTTAACTCATGCGCTGACAACCTACAAGATAATAACTCATGGAACCACCCAGTAGTATCAAATAATGGCAGCTTGGAGACTGGCTCCAAAGAAAAACAACAACTGACACCCCAAACTGAAGGACCTTCTGATGCGGAAGAAGAATCGGCGACACCATTTGATAAACGCCCATCATATATTCGCATTGCTCGCCGACTGCAGCGCATTCGTGTTCTCCCTGCCCTGATCAGCTGCTTTTTTGCATTACTAGTCACTTGTGCTGTATGCGGTGCTGAAATAGCAATAAGCTCTGCGAATCTCTCCTCTTCGATTGCTTTTATATGTTGCTCAGTCGTTGGTTGCATACTTGGCGCATTAGCAGCATGGAACAAAAGCCACGTTCTTCTTGTTGGCCTGGTGCTTTTAGAGGTACTCTATGCTCTGTACTCAATAGCCTTCGCCGCAGTTGGGCTCTCTAACGTGCGCCTACTACAAACAAGACAACAAATTCTGCAACAGGACGGGACTATGCAGCCGGAGCAGCGGGAAAACGCTTTAAAGATTACCCGCCGTATGTTAATTGAGCAGGCTATATTTGCCGGGCTATATTTTTTTATTGCAGCAGCCCACTGCTGCGCCGCAGCTTCAGCGAACCATCTCCGTGCAACTGTGAGGCCATTCGACAGCCGTCTACGAAGAAAACGGCAGAGGGCCAGGGCTATGAGAAAGTTGAACTTGCGCCTACTCTCTGTAAAGGACGATTCTGCGGCAAATTCGTTGCTAGCGGCGGCAGCACAAAACCCCTCGAAAGACCTTCAGGACGCGATTGATTGTCAGACAAGCCAAAATAACAAACTCGGTGATGACGACTCTCATCTTGTTGATACTGTGCCACCTGAAGAGGAACTACTTGCAAAGAACTCTGCAAGCATAAGCATGGAAAACAGCTCCTTTGATGAGACGGGCTCATATCGCCAGAATGCATGGAAAGCAGAAGAAATCCCTCATGCAGATGTTTCCTAAAGAAGAGAGGACCTAAAGTAACTCTCGCATTACGAAAGCCAGCCCTCTCTTGTGCATATCGCATAGCTCACTCAGCAGGGGCGCCTCAGCTAGCTGCCGTGAATTCATGCTTAGACGCGCATCCGTGGATCAGGCGTCTTGCGGATACCTCAGTTCTACACTGAGGTGCAATCACCGCAGTTTCTACAGGACCTTACATTTTTGCTTTGTAAATATATTCTGCGATGTCTCTTCTGCAAAGCAACATGAAGCATCTGTCTCGTAACGAGTCACCTAAGAAGGCGCATGCAGACCTAGTGCGAGTCAAGCGGCTAAGGCCGCTCCACCGTCAGCTCTGCGTACATGCCGCCCAGGCAGAAGCTCAAGCGCGCCGTTCTTCTGTGTGGCGCATGCGCAATGCCAGACAGGGAATAACGCCGTTCGCCCGATTCGTGGATTGTATACTAGAACGAATATGTCTGTGGTGCAGTTCCTTCGTTCCCGTAGGAGCTCTGGCTGGAAAATGGCGCTTCAGGACAGCGAGAGCTTGTCATCGTCCCAGGCAGCTGCAAACGACCTCCTCTTCTCGATGGACGCTACCTTCGAAAGCAAATGTCTTCAATGGACGTGTACCGCGTACTCTCATGATTATCTCTAGCACACACACATTAATTGTGCGCTTAGGTCTAAAAACCGAAGAAAAAGAATTTAGTATTGCTAATGTAGACTAGACGCTGAAGGAAATTTCTTGTGTTTTAGACGGCAAAGGATGCATATTTGTTTTCGTCACTCTGAGGCCTTACTCTGTCCTTCGGAGACCCGAAGTGTGAGCCATTTTAGCTTTGTATAGAAGCTCACTGAAGGGGTCCGATCGTAGCGGCAAGTCTTCACACGCCTTAATGCTTTGGTCCCTAAGAGCGTTCTCTCGGCTTCAGGTGAATCGTTGTCGTGGCTGTGCACCATGAAACGTGCGGGGTTCTGTCTGCCAACTATTTGTACGCCGCAAAGAGAAAAATGCATTTTCCGGCTGTTTTGAAAAAACTGTTTACTATTCAGGTGACACAAAGAAAAAAGCAGTTTCCTTGGCCTTCATTGCTGGCAAGAGGAGGCCAACCTTGGCGGATATTTGGACAATACGCCTCGTTGCTGGCCTCGAGCAGATTGCCCAGGCCAGTAGCCTCCGCCGAGACAGCTATTGTCACCACGGACGATGTACGAACATAATATGGATAGGGGATGTCCTGGATGTCCCTTGAGCTTTCTAATCTAAGGAAACTGGAAAAGCCAGCTAGGAGGTAGGCCTGGCCAGATGCCGGACTTGAGGCCTTGTCGCATGGGTCGCTACTTGCGTAGTTGCTGTTTCAACAGCCAGAGAGCCAAGAACTGCGAGTATTAGCCGCTAGCCGTCTGTTTAGAGACACGTTTTCAAAACATCCACCTAATAATTCTTTGTAACGCCCTTATCTCTATCGTGTCTCTCCATCAGCTAGTGTGAAAGTGCTTTCGTGGAATGACAGGAAGCTTTGTCCTAAGCATTATGAAAAACAGGCCCTCACAGTATTTATGCCAGTTTACTTTACATTCTTTTGGCTTTTGGCTCCGTAACGCAGGCTTACTCGTGCAGAAAATGTAATTCCTTAGTTGCTTCGTGATGGGGCAGTTCAAAAGCATGCAACGATCTGTTTTTCATAATGCTTAGGACAAAGCTTCCTGTCATTCCACGAAAGCACTTTCACACTAGCTGATGGAGAGACACGATAGAGATAAGGGCGTTACAAAGAATTATTAGGTGGATGTTTTGAAAACGTGTCTCTAAACAGACGGCTATTCAGGTAACACAAAGAAAAAAGCAGTTTGCTTGGCCTTCATTGCTGGCAAGAGGAGGCCAACCTTGGCGGATATTTCAGCGTCACGTTCTGTACTCCTAAGCCAAGCCAATTTCTGCATTGCTCTCCATAAGAGAAAAAAGATTTCGTCTTGCCTTATTGGCGCCCTTTATGGCTGAAGTAGCTGGAGAGCCATGAGCAATGCTGACGTCCAGCTTTAGCCTGCGATTACCAACAGAACGATATCAAGCGCTTCGTTGGGATCCCGCTTTTCCTGTATGCCCGTAGGCTGATATTCATTATTGCTACTCCTAAAGGCTTATCCCTTTCTTTTTACACTTGTGTCCCCCCAAAAGCTCGAATACGTCAAACCCTGTATCTGGGAGGAAAATGCTTCAGAGTTTCGATAGGAAAATACCTTTTGCATCGCAGCCTCAGCCAACTGAGGAACATTTCCACCCTTCTATTTCTATGCCCTTTGAACGTAAATATACATGAAGCAGATCAAGTAGCAACAATCGGCCCTTACCGCGTTCAGCGTCTAGCGATTTCTTCTGTGAACAGGAGTAGCTGCCACGGCAGTCAGCCCCAAGAATTTCCGTCCAGGTGGCCAGTAACTTGTCAGCAACTGCTTTGTGAATCTACATCCCTTTGATCTGATGTTTTCAATTTTCGCGAACCAGCTGCGGTTGTGTGCGATTTGGGGCTTTGCGCGTATCGTGCCGTCGCCCTTGCCATTATACTTATTGACTGGCTGGATCGCTTGCGGTTGCCCCTTAAAAGAAATCTTAAATTAAATGACTCTGCCGAAGCACGTAGGAATGTTACGTGAGCGACTTCGTAGTGGTCTGCTCAGTCACCGGCGAGATCATATACCGCAGACACCGACGGCAACTGTTAACGGCCACCCACTAGTTTCTTGATTATGCCTCTACCTGTACAAACCAGTTTTTGACGGGCAGTGGCACAACCAAACCAACTCTCCGAAACGGATTGCTGGCAACCCACCTGGCTCAATGATCCCGAGCGCAACTTCAAAATTTCCAAATACAAACTCACCGCCAGTGAGAGAGCCGAGTTTCGCCCTTTCACAAGAAACATATGAGCAACAAACAACACGTAAAACTGTTAACTGGTGTACCGTCAGCCTCAGTATGGGGTTTTAGCCCGGTACGCTCCATAGCTTCGGGTTGCACTGACAAGCGCCGCGGCACTTCCAGGAAGTGACGGAAGTGTGAAGGTTTCCTAGATACACTAGAATGGGCAAATGCTTAAGAAAAAGTGTCTGCAGCTAAACAAGAGGAAAAGTGACTAGGTCAACCGGTGGAAGCATTGCCAGAGGCTGCCACACGCACAGGAACTTTAGTGTAGTGCCTGAACCTGTGCACTACATTTAGCGGGTGTGAAAGTAGCGCACTGCAGTGATGGCTTGATGGTTTCAGCGCAGGGTAATACCAAGAGACGCTACAGAAGAGGTACAAGATCAGTTGCATAGCCGAATGCAATTTACTCCGAAGATATAAGCAGGATACCCGATGGACGGAGAAATTCGGTTTGAACGGCGCTTCTGGCCCGGAAGAACAATATATTGAGGTGTGACTGTTGCGGGGAAAATTAACGGAATATAAAAGGGGCAGAAGAATCACAGGGCTGCTGCTGCAGCGTGTAACAGGGCAGAACAGGCGGCATGCGGTCGGGCTGACGCAGCTGAGCAAACTTGTGCGCTCATTGTCCGCTGCCCGGACTAGTGCAAAAAGCTTTCAAGTGGTAGTGTCTTCGCTGAGAACGGAAAACCACAGTTTTTTTGTTTAGTAGCGCGCAACAAAAGGCAGCGTGCGCAGCTGGTTCCCCGTTGGGCGTCAGAGTGATGGTGAAATCCTCTTCGCCGCCATCGGCAGAGTTTTCCTATCCACGATCAAAGTCTCGTTTTTATTCGCTGCTTGCCACAGCTTACTAGGTAAAATGAGACAGCGAAGATGAAGGAGAGTTCACCGCGGTGCCCCTCTACTTGGTTCTGAGTGACACTCCGGTGACAAAAACCGCTAGCTCACTTCTGAACAATTCCCAAAATACATTAGTATCTTTACAGCCAAGCGCATATCTACTATAGGGAGGTGTACTTTGGAAAGGGTTATAACTAGCATCATTGTCTATGATCAGTAGCCGTCAGTTTAGTGTCTTTCTGTGGCAGCGGGATGTGAGTGCAAATGACTCCAATGTGCGGTGCAACAAATGGCAAGAAAGTCACCCACTTAATGAGTGAAAACACAATATTTGATTTTGAGAGAGGAATGCTGGAGTGAATGCATACCGTTTGGAGGCGCGATACGAGCATATGCACCTAGGAGTCCTTGGAACGATTTCGCATTACTTAGGACGAGGCATTCTCTTACAGCCTATTCGATTTTCCTTGACAAGTACCCATTTGCGACCCAGCAGGACAGTCCTTCTGCTGGTCTTCTGTTCTGAGTAAACGGCAAATGGCAGACGCCCTCTTAGCAGTCGCCGTCACCGCCGGTGCCCTGGCGCCTTTCGCCCTCACAGACCCACTCTAGAGGCATGCTTTTATGCTCTTTGAATGAGCGCTTTGCGTGGATTGTGAAGCAGGGCTCGTTCTGTCCATATCTGACACTAAAAAGACAAAGCTCGAATGGTCACTGTACCGTAAAAGCTGCGTAGCGAAGTCCGGTGTTAGCAGCGACCCTACAATGTCACGGGGTTCATGTGGGGTCAGGTGTTTCAGTCGAATAGCTCCTTTTTTCCGACTTTCCTGTACCGACCATTTCTCTTACTTACGTGTATATTTTTTAAAAGGGAGACAATACAAGAATACTAGGCTTAGACGGCTAAAGTGAACTCAGTGGGCACCATGCTAGCAGCCAGGTAAGGACCGGCGACGCACTTTGACTAGCCGAGCGACAATCGCCATTATTCAAGCATGCTTCAGCATTAGAAGACGTGATAAGCATCTTGAAAGAAACGGGATGCAGTAGGTGGGCCTTAGATGAGTCAACACCCCTACTCACAGGGGGTGCTTTACGAGAAAGACACATTTGAAATAGCCTTGAGGCGAAAACAGTTTGCGGTTGAGGCTGCACACGAGTTCAAGGCTATTCTCGTGCCATATGAGAAAAGGCACTCAAGATCATGTCTCGAGGAAAAGGTGCGACTTGGCGTGGCTGGATTGTGTGCGATCAGAAAATGCTGTCCCCGTTGCTATCTTACGCAACATAATCAAACAGCAGCGACGTTGGATAATCTGATCAGCTCAGCCACAGGCACAGCAACTCATGAATGCTTCAATTTAAAGCCACGCACACAAACGTCTCCTTCAGATCACGCAGATGCAGGTAGGCGTTACACTGTTTCACAACCTGAGTCAGTCGTGGACTGCAGTGCAACTGCTGATTCACAAAACTACCTATCTGATATTGCAACAGCAGATGCCCAAACTTCCGACAGTCAATATGTGGAACATAAATGCCACGGCGTCTACACAGGCACCTCTCAACGCTGTAGCGTCGAGACCGCATTTGCCCGGCGTACAATTCATCCATCCAAAGGTGCTGCCTAACAAATGGATAGTTTCTTCTGTCAGAGCTGTAACTGGAGCAATCTTGCAATTTTTGCTGGAGTTTACTTTTCAGCAAAGAAATGTAGAGTAGTATACTACTCATAGCCCAATCCAGCATGGAGACCGAAATGTTTGCGCGGACGCAGTTGCCAACTTGAACTTAAGAAAGCTCCAAAAATGCCCAAAATGACCTCATTTGTCCTGAATTTGCTGAAACTATAGGGGCATACCTCCCCAGTCTGCAGAACACAAACTTCATACAGCTCTCTGCTCGAAGCAACACGCTTCACTTTCCCTGCCCGCCGTGCCGACAGCGTATGCCTGACTTTTCCTTGAGTTTTCCAAGCTGCAAAATCCTTGTTACGCTTTTAATAAAGCGACCGTAAACATTTTCCGTATTATTTTGTGGCTTTCGTCGATGTGTGCCTCGTAAAACAAGCACAAAACTATGGAGGGAGGGGCCGAGTGCACGTCAGTAAAGCAAGCTGAAGCTAGCATTAGAGTGGGCGAAAAAATGCCGTAGAAAGAACATGCAGAACTAAACCTTAAAGGAGCTCGACTATAATCCGTGAAAACTGAGAGAAAGCTACGAACGACTCAATGGCGTCTACTGAATTGCTCGGGGATGTCTTGTGCATGCAGAGGCGGAAAACAGTCAACCTACTACGTCGGTTCAGTGGCCTTTTCTACCAATTTGAGAAAGCTTTGCTTTTTTTAAAACAAATTTACAATTTTGGCCCACTGCGTTCACGTGCAACCACAGGCCCGCTGGTCGCTACCAAGCGCACCTGCACAACTTTCAAAGCATACATTAAATTTCATACTGGAAGGAGACTCACTATATATCATAAACGCATGCACTCATGCACGTTTCATTTGATTTCTACTGCCGCATATTCACTGCCGAGACTAAGACCGAATTGAGCACAATCTCAGACAAGAGTTTTCTCTAGTCCTTGGCCATGAGAGAGGCGCCGAAGATATATATAGATCGGATTTTCCAGTGGAACTCACTCTCAGATTTGTGCATCAGCACTTTATCATTTTTTCAGAAGATGCAATCGGGCAACGCGCAGAGGCGAACGATAATTAAACATCATCTTCGCTGAGAAGGCTCCGACGCCGAACATTCTTACAGAAGACGTTGATGCACGGCAGAGCCGGAGCAGCCTCGCATGAATTCGGCGAGATTTCGCTTTCTGGACGAAGGCAAGCATGCCCTCACCCCTATAGGCGCTCGAGGCTCTTTGGGAGCGAAGAAGAGAATTTGAGAGGATATGCAGCATGCCGTGGCAGAGGAGGTGCTACATAGGCGCGGAGACACAGAGAACAGAAGCTACGTGCCAACACACAGCACTGAACTGAATCCTGCCCACTTCTGCCTCCGTTTGAACTACTTGAAGCTCTCTAGTCAAGTAGCGCTTCCGCTTCCAATTGAACTGCTTAGAGCTCTGAAGTCAGGTATATCCATGACCAACGACATTTGCTTGGCTTTCCACAAGGCTTGACAGCCTGTCGTATGGTTTTAACCCACCCGTAATTTCTTTGTTACCTTGCAAATTCTGTACGCCATTCCCTAATCTCATCGTCAAATTCTCGTGATCGTTTGAAATATCGGCGCCAGTTTGCCTTAGAATACTGAATAAATTTGCTTTATTATGATTAGGTAGGTCAGTACCTTTCACCTTATGCAACAGTTTTGTAGTTCTTTGAATACTCGGAGAATTGGACGATACTACTTAGTCTTGCAACACACACCTGCGAGTAAGCCTTTTCCAACACTGAAGGATCGTAACTTATCTTGCACTTTTCGGCTCTTTGAATCGTTGTTTTTCACCCATTGCCTCGGGGCTTCTTAGCGTCCGAAGTTTCATTTTGCGTTTGTTGAGTTCTTGCCTTCACGTTCAACGCCTTAGCTTTGCCAGGCCATGGCGTTTACTTAGTACTTCTTGCCATTTTCAGGGGCTCTTAATGCCCCCCTTGTTTACCTTGGTGCTAACCTTTCTTTTTGCATCGTAACTTCTGAAGACTGGGCGTTCATTCTTTCCTTTCTTCGCCCTGGAGAATCAGCAATTTACGTGTCCCCACCCGGAGTTGCCTAGAACTTATAGCACTGCGCATGTTGTCGTTTGCTTTTCTTTTCTCACCTTTTGATTGTTGGCTTTTGGTTTTCGTAGAGCCGAATCGATGCCTTTCACGCTTTACGCGTGCCCTCTTTGAAGTATTGCCTTTCAGTTTTTGCCTAGCTCTAACGGTTGTGAGCTCCCTTTGACTCTCCACCACATATAGTTGTTTGTATTGCCATTTTATACTAAATCTGTTTGAGATGCCGACTCTATTGCTCAGCAATATGCTTCTGTGCACCCTAGAATCTAGTAAAGTGCAAAGCGAAGAGTTTGCATGCCCAGAACCGAAATGGAAAAACCACAATTTCCGAATGTTCACTTTAACACTCAGTACATTGGTTATTTCCACCATTTCATTCTGGAAACTGTAGTCCGCATTTGCGGGACTGCTAACGAGTAGAAGGCGCTGAAGTTGGCACATGACACAGATGAAGGCTCATATCCTTAGTAGCTTGCTTGCCTGCGTCAGCAAATTAGCTCGAAGCAGGGCTTGCATTATATGCGTATCTACTTAGCCGAGTGGCAGAAGAGAACGGCCAATAAGGAAAACTTAAGGAGCTAAGCTGCTTTTGTTCTTCGAGAGCGGGCTGCTGTTGGGATGCCAAGCTACTGAAGACTGGTGTGCAACGTGTGGTGCGCAGGATTTTAGAAACCTGTGTGCAGTTCGTGCTGCAGAACTTTTTGGAAGCAGTGGGGAAGTTGCCTGTTGCAACTCCGCTCTAAGCCTCTTCGTTGCGGCGGTGTTGCTTCAGGCACTTACGCCAGGCCACTACGGAAGATTGCACCGTTCAGATTGCGCAGGTGGTTCGCTAGGCTCGCTGAATGCTTTTGAGGCCTTTCATAAAGCATGGCTTTATCGAATATTCCTTGCTGCCTCACACAACGTTTGTAGGGAGCTCGAGGGGTTCACTGCCGCGCTCCTTCGTATGAAGTTCAGATATGCAGTGTACTTGTCACGGCAAACCTAAGACATCCTAGTGCAGGCGACCTTGAGCGCCTCCTATCATCGATGTTCGGGAGAGTTGCGCCTTGTGCAGTACCGCCATACGATTAATCGCGTGTAGGCCTGTCTCTGCCAAGAAACATGGCTTGACTCCTCCCACAGTTATCTAGGGCTGTTTGTCTAGCGCATGTTTTAGTCTTAGAAACACAGGTTTCCTTTTCCTGAAGGGTATTCTGTGAAGTGCCGTGCAGCGAGCCCTCCATAGTTGACTCAGTGTGCTCCCGCCCGAACTCCTATACAGACTCCTATACAGCTGCTCTCGTACAGCGGGCATGGTGGCTACGGAAATATCTTGAGTGGTAGTACAGCCCAGAAGAGCCGGATGATTGACCTTTAAACTGCTTTAGATTCGGCGCAGACCTAATCAGCGCAACGCTTGTAGGCCCAGCTGGTTCATTAGCTAGATCATCGGGCTTCTAATTGCTTTAGATTCACTGCGGGCCAAATCAGCGCACAAACTCGTTCCTGTGGGGGCCTGTGCCACTCTGGGCCCACTAGTAGTAAGGGAAATGACAATATCGCTATTTGAATATTGGAAATAGTTGTCGAGGATGAAATGTATGCGTTGCTGAGTGTTTCGCAGCGAATTGCGAGCGTATAAAGGCCAGGCATTGTTGTTCTGAATGGATGCCCCGTCGCCCTCTTTCAAGCAGAAACTCTTTCCGACAAAAATTGCAGCTGACAGTCACATTTGTCCAGCTTGAAAGCTATAAATTGATGTCCACCAACATCTGGTTTTCCTGGAGGTTTGGCCATGATGTGCGTAGCGTCAGCCTCGTAGGATTAGGAAGGTTTCATCATTACAACAGAAAGGAAAGACTGTTTAGATTTGTGTGGCTTCATTACTCTTACTGATAAATCATTCGAAGTGCAAATTTACCGTTGCCGATCGTAGGTACGCGCAAAAGAGTTGCTTCACATCTACAGCTGGCTCCACAAGCACGCTGTGCAACGGAAAGCTTGTTTAATGTCTCAAATGATCTTCAACAATAGCGCGAAGAAAGTTCATCGGTGGATGCACCGCTTAGAATATTTTACACATCCTTGCGGCAACTCTATACGGGAGCCTTCTCTCTTGAAGAGCTCTTTTTAGTCTCCTTGCCAAACTTGAGTTTGAACCACAGTATAAATAACGCGAGGAGGACCAAACATGCCACACCACCGCCTAGTGCTCTGTACATAGCTACCTGAAGTTGCAGCAGAAAATGCAGCGGCGCTAGCGATACTGAGAAACGAAAACTTGCAGAAGTCATTCCTCTGCATTTCGGCTTGAATTTCGACTGCACATGCCCCAGTGCTTATGTAGCTTCAGCTCACGTAATAAAAGCTGGAGACGGTGGATTCGCAACCAAGGACAGCGACCTGGACAATGTTTCGCCTAAGGAAGCGGCAGTTCAGCGATTGTTGAAGGTCCTCCAACACGTAAACTGTTTTATCGTTCAGCACTGCGACTGCGTCCAACACTGCGGAGATGGCAGGTAGGCCGCAAGCAATTCGCGATTTCATGATACTGCATAAACTAAATTACTTCGATTATTTTGGGGGTGGTACGCTTCCGTTTTGAGTGGAAGGTGATGCCAGCTTTAGCATTACCTGCGTTGACGAGGCACGATGATACTCGTAAATCTGTGCAAGCAAAAATTGCACCACAGCCACAGTGGTCAGGAAAATTTAGGGGCGCTGAAAGTGGGCAGACTTCCAGCTAGGCCACCGACTATCCTTAAGCCTGCTGCTAATACGCGACTCTAGAATGCCGAAGGCGGAGCTAGGAGAAGGCAAAAGGAAACTGCCTCAGTGCTAGACAATTTCTAAAGGATCGTCTGCTTTGCACTCACAGTTTTGACCAGCACCAAGCTGCTGCGTGTTCATGTAGGATGCTTGCATTTGACTTGAATCGAGTCCAAACATCTCGGCGTAACTGCATGAGCTTTCCTGTCCTCCTTCTTGAACGCATTTGTATTTTGTTCCCAGCACCTTTTGCTTCTGTTGCAGCCACCAAATGCCGTTTTTCGTCCAAAGTCTGAAATTTTCTGCCTTCTCTTCTGCTTCTTGCTCGTCCGAACCAGCAGCCACGAACTCAGCCTTCTACGCTCCGCAAATCGGCAGGTTTATGCACTACTGATCTTTGCGCGACGGCTGATTGCACATTCTCATCCATTTTTACTCCTTCTACACTTAATGCACGCGCTTATGAAGATTTGGAACTTCAGACATGCAGTTCAGCCTAGTTACTGCGGCTTTGGACGCATACAGCCTGTGTTGTGTGCTGGGATGTTGTGGTCTAGACCCTGTAGGTCTTCATGTTCGGCATGGCCTATGGAAGAAATTATATTGTGAGGCTAGGATGAAACTCATTCGCTGAAAGAACTTTTATTTCACCAGCGGTATGCAGGTTCTACATATGAAATGGAACATCATTTTGCTCTGTTACATCTGTTCCATCATAACCCACAGATGAAGCTAGGCATTTTTGCTAAGCAGCTCACTTTACTTTCTTTAAGTTCTTCAAGCCATCTGACATAATCCGAATCTGCTTCAATCGGTATAACGTCTGTTACAATAAACTCCCCATCTGCTGGTTCCTCAGGGTGTAGAGCATGCAACTTCCATGGGGAAACGAGGCTTTCCAGTGTAGCAAGTCCGTAAAGAGTTTCTCCACCTAAGTCAACGTCTTGGATTTGCACGCCGCTCTTAAAACAGGAAGCAAAATCAGATAGGGCCAACACGCTAAAATTATGCACACATCTGATAAAACATGCGCTTTTACAGTCCCATTTCTATGGAAGAAAACAGTGGTGTGGAGTCTACCTAAGCAAACTGAAGAGTAGACACAAAACTGTGATATTGGCTTAGAAACACGGGGACAAGCATGCATGCGTTGAAAGGACGAAGAATATTGCAAATACGATTTTTGACGCAGCTTTAACGATGTAGGTACATACAAATATTATATAATATGCACTTGCTTGTGCATATGGCGCAAACACGGGGGACTAAATCTGCACAGAAGTTTGAATCTGCGAAGGAGGAAAGAAGCAGTTTTCAAAAAGGATTTGCACATGGCCGTATGTATACGTTGCTGGTCTGTAACAAGCATCTGGACAACTGCTAGGTCTGTGCAAGCATAGGCAGTGCTTTAAGTAGGCATGACACACTAAAATATCGTCACATTCCCGCGACTGCTCCTTGAGTTATGCATGCTTGTGGCTACAGTACAATCCTTATTAATTTAGCGCACCGACAAGTTCGCTTTTGACTACCTATAGTGTAATACTGATTCACCTTCAAGAACTCAGGGAAAACGTTTTTTCTCGCGTTCGCCACGGAATCTTGGTCAACTGTTACGAGAGCGCCAAAGGATTTGGCCGCATCTACGTAGCTTTCCGCTAATGCTACCAACACATCGAGCAGGAGTAACGAGAATCTGGCACATGGCAAAGCTTTTGTTCATTGGGGCGAATAATTCTTTACTACTGGTGAAAGGCTCACAAGGCTTTTAAGCTGATAAGATTTGGTGGGTTCTCACCAGACGTTTTCTCATCAAGAGGGGCCATATCTGTAGGAAAGCTTCCTAAAGTCTTCTTCAGAGTATCCAGCACTTGGTTAAAGGCCTCTTTAGCTCCCACCGCAGCAAGCATATCTCCCTCACCTTCTTTTGAAAGACATTCAGAAATCAGGGGCTCGACGACAGGGGCGTAGTCAGATAGCAGTTCCCAGTTGTCCTCCTCTAAGCAAGTGTTGGTGATGACGCTACATCCCTGCCTTCCTATAGTCATGACCCAGCCTAGTGCTCCGCCAAATATGAGAAATATAACTACAACCCAAGCCAATACATTCCAAAGAAGTGCTGGAGTGCCGCTGCCGGCACCGGCTCCTCGACAGAAAAACCAAATGGTCCAAAGAGCTATCAGCAGCAAGATAGCCAAGTAGAAGCTGCAGTCTACTTTAAGACCTATGTCTAGCCACTGCAGTGCCTTGGAAACAATCCCCTCAGTGCTAGCAAGAGCATCAAATGCCGTCAAGAAGAGCTCTTTCACAGTCCCTATCGGGAAAATTTCCTTGACATTCAAAACTGGAAGTTCGACGTTTTCAAAGATTTTGTCTAACTGTTTCTTCGGGTCAACTGCGACGATAACTTTGGCCGAGTTGCTCATTTGTTCCTCGATTGCCTCTATGTCTATGCTGGCGCTTGGATCATTTACAGCATCACACCACATAGATTTGTGAAAGCTCCCCGAAAGCGAATTGTTTGCAGAAAAGGCTACACATGCATTGCCTAGATTTCCAATGGCCGTGTTCATTTTGTCTGATATCGGGACAACATCTAACGCCTTTGTCGCTGCTTGCTTGGACAATTCAACGACGTTGTCTGGGTTGCTGGCGTCGAAAAGCAAAACCAAAGCCTCCACATTGTCCACCAGGGGAAGCAGGCCTTCAAATTCATCGGGCAAGGGTGTGTCTGCTTGCGTGTCATTTCCTTGTAGTGCTTCCGTCCCTCGAAGCGTCTCGTTGGCGAATTCATAGGTTTGGCACTGCAGTTGCCTGGCGCCTTCTACCCCTTGGTTTTGGTAGTGAAGGACCAAGCAGGCAAACACTATACCCATGAGCGTTAAAGCTGCGATAAATATTGCCCACACAATGCGTGAACAAAGTCCACTCTTTCCGGAGCAGCATTTCGAGCAGCAGCAGAGGCGGCGCAGGTACTTGCAGCAAATTGTGGGGAGACAACAAAGCAAGTACACAACAGCCACAATGGCGCCGGCGATAATCGATAAGCCGAACAGACAACTGCTTTTCAGAACATCAGTCAAGCTCCCTGTTCCTTTCAAATACTCGTAGAGAGCCGTTGGATCGGACTCTAGTGTTGTCATTGCCCCCAGTAAGTTGTTCATCCACTGATCCATCTGTTCCACTGCGCCGGAGACCTTCTCGGAGATGGCACATCGCAAGCAATAGTCGGGAAACACATTTTTTCATAAAAGCTAAGCACAGCTGCTTTGAATAAATCTTTTAAAAAAGCGCAACAGAGCCAGTGCGTGTGGATATTGTTGTGCTGAGCTTTTCTGTGCCAATCATTGTGTTCCCCTGATTGATCGTGCCAGCGTGTAGGGTTGCTCACGGAGCTTCCAACTTTGTCAAACAAACTAGACCTCACACTTGGAGAGCATGCACGCTTTATTGCCTCCTCAAATGCCTCTAGAGTGCTTGATGAAGGAAGCTCGCTCTCCTCGCTGCCTTCCGAATCTGTATTTTCCCCACCCGTAGAAGGGGATTCGTTCTCGCCACTCTCTGTGGATCCACCATTGCTGTCTTCCGGTGGCTTTTCTCCTCCAGTCCCCGGTGAGGACCCTGCATTTTCCTCTTGTTCAGCACTGGAATTTCCGCTGGAGCTTGCTCGCAGGGGCGGAAGACTGTTCAGCTTCTCATTCGTTCCCTTGCTTACTGCGCCAAATGTGCAAGTGAAGCATGCAACAAAATATTTGCTACAGGCATGAAAAGTGAGCTTTTTCTCTTTGTCAGGCTCCCAGCCACGTGAATGGTTGATTGCTAGATTGCGGCGTTTTGTGCCGACTACGCTTTGTGTGGCGGCCTCAACGCACCGTGGAGTTACCTTCTTAAGTTCAAAGTGGAGGCTTTCGCTTAACGTTTAACACTATTAGGAGAAAAACGCTTGCAAAGAAACAGCGGCGCTTTTGCAAGGTAGATCATGCTCGCAAATTCTCCCGTTACACTCATTTAGGTGTTCCCCTCTTTTTCACGCTTGCGTAGAACTAAAGGTAGCCTGATTTAACAGAAACTAACCTGAAGATGCCGTTTTATATGCAGTTAAAGAGTTTGTGTCGTTTATCGGGAATGCCGCAGCGAAAGCAACAGCAAGAATCACGTAGACGAAAATGAGCCTTGACTTCCAGTGGCATCTTTGCGATTGGCAAACGCTTTTGGTTACAATGGGGGCGAAAGCTATGGCCGAAGCCATTGTTACTAGTTTGTAGTAGTAAACCTGCGAAGGCTTGCGCAAATTTTCTTGTCTGGGAACTACAGATTCTATTGCTTGTCACTTCAAACGCCCTTGTCAGACTACGAAGCTCAATAATCCTGCCTATCCAGTGTGCTTTTCTTTGGTGTCGCTACAAGTTCGTAGGATCCTCAAGAGCATAGATGCGAACGCTGTTGAGCTGCGCTCAGTATGCAGAAGCAGCGAGGGCTGCGTTGTCGGTGTATCGCCACTGGCATAATCCAGCTCCTCAAGGGGGTTACAGATTCCAGAAAACGCAAAGGCTTATTTTAAAAAGTTCATCGCTTCGGTTTAACTCTCATTAGTTTCAAGCCATCTCTGTAGGGATGGAGACACGGTCGCTGCGGCCAGCCGGAGGCAAGGCAACGAGTTCAATGAAAATCAAAGTTTGAGGGCAGGAGCAAACAGCAGCGCCAATGCTTACACAGTGCATGACAAATTTGAAAAAAGTGTCCAAATTAGTTCTGGTTTATTTCAGCGGTGCTTCCAGAGTGGGACTGGAGAAGGGCGCTGGGGGGCCGCTGGACTGGTAGGTGACCCTGAACAGCTCTAAAATGCGAAGACCACTCCTGAGTAAGATGTTCTGGTGCACTTTAGGACTTTAATTGGAGTGTTTCAGTCGACGCTCACGGCGAGGCACTTAGTGGTGCTTCCAGCAACTAGCCACTAAAACAGATCCCATGTGCCGCCGCTGGTGTGCTTCGTGTTAGTAGACTACACAACTGAGAAATGCAACAAAGAAAAGCCAAAAGCTAGTCCAAGCAGAGATTACTCGATTCCGGGATATAGGAAGGTGACTTCAACCAACAGAGACTCTCAGAAAGAAACTGTTGACCTAGTAGCCCCTGCGTACTAAGGGCGGTTCTCCGGGCCGATATTAAATGGAATTGCCGCCGTTGACGATCAAGACAAATATAGCCATTTTCTCCACTCAAAAGTGTATCTGCAGTCTCGACCTGAGGAAAATTTGCAGCAGCAGCCGCAAATGGAACCCTGGGCTAATGTAAAGCTACGACCAAATTGCTAGATGCGAAGAATTTCTGAAGAAGGAAGTTACCCTGGCCTCATGAAGAAGAAATGTTAATGATAGAGTCATGCACGCTCGACTGGCCATCCGTTATCCCACTAGACGCTTCTCTATGGGCTCCTACAGCTACTGATGCTTCGAACACGATCAAGCCAGCAGAGGGGTCTGCAAACCCTCGCCTCAATCCAGCAGTTGCTCTCCATGATACAACATCCATGATGTCTCGAAGCAAGACACCTACAAGCACGCCTGCGATATCTCACTCGCCTGTGCACATGCCTCCATTTCTCCAGCCGCTGGTCAGCAAGCACAGTGCCAACTGTGGGAAACCGGCCCCTATTCTCGCCTCTTCTAAATCGCTAACCAAGGCGTCGCTGAAGGAGTACAGCGAAAAGTCGAGCGTTGGAGACCTTAGGCTGCCTTCAGTCCCTTCAACCGTCTCTACCACAACAGCTGACACCACATCCAAGGCAACGGATGCCTCTAGCAAGGAACCTCCACAAGAAGAGAAGCATGTAGCGCCCGTTACTCAAGCTTCTGAGAAACAATCAAAGCCTGCAAAAATAAATGCAGAGGCCCCTAAAGAATTAGAAAAGCTAGCGTCGCTTGCATTTACCTCGTCTTTGGCTCCTAGCGAGTCTACAACTACTAACCTGAACCAGCCAAAAGTCTCCGCAGCAGCCCCAACGACACAGCTTTCGTCTCTTCCTCCAGTGAAAGAACCAGAAAAGATTGAAGGGCAAACTGCAGGAAGAAGCTCCGAAAATGCGGCGTATGACCCTTCTGTAGCTCGCCTTATTGCAGCTCTGGGGGCCTCCAGCCTCCGATTGGCGGTTGCTGCAGAAGAAGGCCTTGACAGCAGCCCTTCGGACTTTGGCAGAAGCACGTTGGAGCTGCCTGCGGGGTCGACGAGGCGTAGGCTGAGGAGCGAAACAACAGAAGTCGAGTCAACAGAGTCTCCCGTGACACCGCCAGCGACTAGTTCCACAGGAGTTTTTCTAACACGGAACTCTCCCCTCAGAAGACCAATCTTGCCTGCCCCTAAGCCTAGCTCTACCTCAGTGGGCAGAAATGGCTTGCAAGGCCTTCCAAACATTCGCCGAGGCAGCCGGGTTTCTGGATCGTCTACGCCTCAGCTGAGTCCTCCTAGCAAAGACTTGGGGAAGGCCTCAAGCCGACCCGGCAAACTGAAGCCAAAAGAAGTTGAACTAAGCACAAGGCGCAACTGTGTGGGACCTGCTTTGCTGGGACTTTCCCCTGGGATGTCAAGTACTGACCAGACCACTGACGTGCTGCCCTCGACCACCCGCATAGCGTCTTGCAGCAACGCGTACAGCCCAACACCAGCACGCAGCGCCCGCGGGAGTGACTTTGGCAGCGATGGTCCCAAGCAAACAGGGTGTGCAATTTCTTCGAAGGAAGCCACATCTCCAATTAGTGCTCCGACCCATTGGGGCAAAAGTAATCGCTCTCCCGAATGGCGTCTGCCTGCGGAAGACGTACTGGGGCTTGAAGGCTCAAACCCCAAAAGTACTTCAGCTGCTTCACATGGGGAGGAAGAGGAGCAGTTTTCTCTGCTGCTGCAGCACTCTTTAGGGCTGTTGCGGCGCGAAGCAGCTCGATGTTTTGCAAGCTCTCAGGCTTCTGTCAAACAAAAGCTGTGGAAGGAGCTACAAGAAGAAAAGTGCCTGCGACTGCAGCTTCAGCAGGAGCACCAAGCGAACTTTGCTGCTGCTGAGGCCGAGCTAATATCTCTAAGGAAGCGCCGCGCGGATGACAACAAACGGTTGGAAAAGTTGTTGGAAATTTGCTGCGGCGCGAAACAGACAGAAGAAGCCTTTCGGCTCATGCGAACCGCCTGGAAAGGCTGGCAGCTACAGAGAGTGCACACTCGAAGACTGAAAACACTTCAGAGACTTTTTCTCCATTGTAGAGTACTTAAGCTTCTGCTGAGAATTTTTTTGCCTTGGAGAGCAGCAGCTGCAAGGCGCATTTTCGAACAGCAGAGGCTGAAGGCTCAGGATCTCTTACAACAAGAGATGGAACGATTAGGACATTTGCATCAGGAAACCATACAACAGCAGCACCAGGAGCTTCAGCAGATGCGACAGAAACTTGCAAGTGAGGTTCACCTCCGCGAGTGCCTGCAGCAGAGTCTTATTGGAATAGCTTCTAGTGGAGGCATCGGGATGCCCTCCCAAATGGCTCCTAAGCCAAGCCCTTTTGCCTTGGCGTCCAGTTCCTCGCCATCCTCTTCAGCTGTATTGAACGCTAAGCGACAACCGCAGCAGAAAACTCAGGATCATCTTAAACGGCAGCCGAATGCTCTTGCAGTTATAGGAACCCAGACGAACTTAAGGGGCCGACGGACTGCAGCAACCCAACAGCCCTTACAACAGCAGCAGCAACAGCAAGCACAGTTGTGTGACGTGCCAGCTCAGCTTTCCTGGTGGCACTGGATGCTCCAGAATGCGGGGCTGGGCACTCAATTCCCTCAAGTAGTCCCTACGTCTGCATTCAACAAGGCTGCTTATGGGGCTGGAAGTAGACCCACAGAGAGTACCGGGCGCCGTGTTAAATTTGTGGACGAGGAAGTGCAGCAGCAGCAACAAGAACAGCAGAAGCTGCTACTTCTTGCCAACTTACTTGGGGTTTCTCCCCCTTCAAGATATCTGGAAGAAAACAGCCAGTTGACAGGAATTCTTCCGGGTGCCCCCCTTTGTACCCAACAAAAACTTAACTCCCCAGGAATGGTTACATGTGCTTCCGCACCGACCCTTGGTTCCTGGAGATTGCTACGTGACAGGCAAACGGCAAGCACAGGAATCGCTGCAGCAGCAGCAAGCGATTCATCGACACACCACGGTTGCGCAGCACATACAATGCTTAGCTCAGAGTGCAATGCATGCCAAAGTGCTCTATGGGGACCCAAAAAAAGCACCGCATTTGAACTGGAATGCCAACCGCACAAGCACAGGCGGTGGACATCAGCGACCCATTCTACTCCAAAGATGTAAGGGTTTGATACCACTCAAAATTGGAGTTTCCTTGTTTCACGCCAAACATGCCTGCATGCTCCGAAGTTGGGAGCAAAGGGCTCAAACACAAATCCGCGAAACAAGCAATAGCTATCAGGTTTTCAATTCATTCTGCGGCCCAGTGTCAGTGCTGTCCATGAATGTGGCATCAGGGCAGCATAGCGCCGCTGCTGTTTGCTTACGTCTAGCATGTTATCATGACAGCTTCTAGCTTTCTCTAACTTACTGGAATCAGGAAATAGCTAATAAATGGGTGGCAAAAATTGGCTAGTTGTGGGACTGTTCGGTATTTATTTTGCTTTTTAAAGCTTAATACGCCATACGCCAGCGGTCCACAATGCAACCCATTATCGCTGGACACAAGTGCTAACTTTCATACTTTCCTAGCCTCCTCTTTCTGCTACACACATGCGTTTCCTGCAGTGACTTCACGTTATGCTGCACCAAAATGTCAGTATGCTGGTTGGAGTTGTTCTAGGTTGAGATTCTTTACGGAAGATTTCCTGGAAAAGAGCAAAGCGGATGTTTATATTGCTAGAATCAATGTGTTGGCGCGGCCCACTGGCGATAGCTCCTTCCCGTACACTAGTACTAGTTACACGAGCTGTGAGCTTGCTAACTGGAAGCTCGCATAAGATGAAGATTTAGTCCACAGTCTACTGTCCTCGCAGGAAGGGTTCTTTGCTGGCACCGAGTAGTTGAGACATCTGAACAAAGACATGTTTTATTATGGGCCTTCCATTTCCAGCTGAGCCTAGGGGCCAAAAAAGTGTTTTCTGGTTGAAATGAATGCCTGCCGACGACCTTACTTGGTCTGCAGCAAACAGCCTTGCATCGAGTGCCATTTGTACCTCAGCAGTGAATCCATGCTGTTCATCTGTCAACACGCAAAATTGCTGCTTCATCATTGCTCCACTCATTCAATCAGAATTTTCAGTACAGCGTGGGGTCAAGTGAAGCAATCAAGCTGCGCCATAAGCATTACGCGCCATTTATGTAATTACGCGCAGGAGGGCTCACGTGGCGCGGCTACCATGGTTGCGTTTCCTGTTACAGCGCCAGAAAAACTTTTTGCTTACACACATATTTCAGTACTTCTCTGTAATTTGCAGCTCACTCCAAATCATTCTATCCTACGGCTCCATTCTGGCGCCGCTGAGGGTGCCTTCAAAGATTTTTAGGACTGTGCGTGCTATATGGAGGAAGCCATTTACCCCAGAAGTGATGAGGCACTAGGCGTTTTTCATGTCGGCCCGAAAGGGAGGCGGAAAATAGAATTGGTTATTTCTAGCTACTCTGCTGAAAGCGCCAGTTGCTACTGCTTCCGAATTGTTTTTGCATCTGTTTATTTGCCTCGAGTAGGAACGTCTACCCATAATTTGTAGCATGGAATACTAGAATAAGTTCATCTTCGAGAAAAAATAGAGTGGGTCCAGCGGTGTCTTCCGGTAGTTGGCTCAGCATGATTCTTATGGTGAAATATAGGCGTGAAGCCAAGCGAGCTGCGGCAGCCCCAGGCGCACCATTTTAGGCACAAGAGGGCAGCATGTGCATCGCCTGGAGGACCCCTGCCAGGTTTTGTTTCGCTTAAAGAATGTGCATGCAGCTCCCTGCTTTTTTTGGCTGGTCTACAAGGGGCAAGGGCCAACAGGCATCCCAAATACATTTGCCAGACGCATGCGCTAATAATATACTGATTTGTTTGCAGCCACATATGTTCACACCTTTCGACGTCCCACCTTCATCCGTGTTCACTTTAGATAATGAAGGGTTGTAAGCTCGTCTTAGGCTGTTACTTCCCGTGCATGCACTTTTAGGATCTCCGCGCAGCCAGTCACGAAAGCATTTGAATTTTCGTGACTCACTGAAGAGCAAGTGCTGCAGTGCGCGGGGACCACATCTTAGAGCATTCGGCATCTAGAAACCGGAGCCCTACGTGCGTGCAGCCCTAAACTTGATACGCTTAGTGGAGCTTTCCCTCGTTATCTAGTGAGCTAGCAGCGCAAATGCCTTAGGCAGATGCTTGCTTGCGGCTAGTGGTAGAAACATAGCCTGGATGAGACTTTCTGAAGTCTGCCATCCGTGGAGAGCTGCACTGCCCGTTCCTGGACTCTTGGCACGCATCACAGTAGCACTGCACTTCAACGTTTCGGAGGCAACCAACTTGACTGCACATGGGGCAGTGGGGTCTTCTGTACTTTGATGAAATGTTTTCACTGCTGGAGCACCGCGAAGGAGGATTCGGCCTGCATGGTTTATTTCTCTGGCGCTTGCACGGAAGGTTGCAGGGGTGCTGATTCGGAGTTGACTCCACAGTTGCTTCAGATGGCGCTGCGTCCTTCTTGCTTTCTCCGTGAGCAATCGATTTGCGAGATTCTGTTCTGCAACTATTGCAGGATTTGGTGGACTCTGTTTTCTTAAGTCCACTGGGCACATCTCTTGTGGGTGGCGCTTGCTCAGACACCTCGGACTTCCGTGACTCCACAGCTTGCTTGGTGCCACTTGAGCCTCCCCTCTTCAAGTTGCTGGACTCACTCTTGACCACTGTGCTCACTGTAGACACATCTGCAGTGGAGCGGTTGCTTGCGCTTGCCTTTCGCTGGTCTCGCCTCCTGCAGTCGAGAGCACAACCGGAAGGCATGCGAAGCAGTTGCTTGCCTTCCAGAGGCAGCAGCAAAATTTTCTCAAATGATGCCTCATTAGGCTACAAAAAGAAAACTAGAAGGGAATTGAGTCTGTGCTTTCATTTGGTGACAGTCACTAGTACTTACGCAGCGCTGCGGCTTCTTGTCATTGCAAGTTTCGTCGCGAAAGTTTCACAAGTTTCCCTCTCCGCTCGACGCGCAGCCATGCGCGGGGAAGAGCAACGAGGCTTTCCAGAAGAGCATTGGTAGCAGTGGCAGCGGCAGTCGAGGCCGGGTCTCAGGGCCTCGCCAAAGCCGCACTTGTCGCAGTGAGGCCGTAGGACTTCCGGCTCTTCTGGCGCCAACAGCCGACGGCTTCTCGTGGAAGTTCTGGTTCCCGTTACCTTCGCTTTAGATCCAGCTTTTCCGGCGGAATCCCTGGGCAGAGGCAGCATGTAGGTCTGCACTGAAGTATGTTTGCATCTGTCGCTCAGTGCATCTATTAGCTGTGACTACGAAACCGTAAGTGATGCATAGCAGAGATGCTGGTCTTAACGAGCCGGTGTAAGCATACTTGCACTTTTTCGTTCAAAAATGCTCTCTAAATGCATAGAAAATTAGAACTTTTCGAAATTTGTATGGAAAAGCCTGCAATGAGAAGGCACTCAAATGGTTGGGTGCAGCGTCTTGGGTGCTCACTTTTCAGGATTCTCCACATGACAGTAGAATGAGCCCGTGATGGTGGTTGTGGGCCCCTTAGAGGCTCTTGAAGAAGCTCTTGATGGCATTTTCTGATTGGAATTTGTTGTTTTGTCTGCCACAACGTAACCGCCACAGTGATCCCTGTTTCAAGTGTTCAGAGCAGCCTTAATTTCTGGCCTCCAGCACATGGAAGGAAACAATTGTAGACGGAACAATGCTAATTGACTGAAATTACGCCTTGTAATACAAGGTTTTCAGCTAGAAATGGGCGTTTCAAATCGATGCTGTGCATTGGGAGGAATGCGCATTTCATACTGGTGCGGCGATCACTTGCGAAGCCTGCACGGTGGCTAGTACTCTTGACTTACTTATTCCCTCTTGAAAGCTCTAAAATAAACAGCAATGCAACAGGGTTTTCAGGGAAACACTAAATTTGTTCCAAATTTCAACAGCCAGTTCTCGATGGAGGCTAGCGGCCACTACCGAGAACGCCGCTCTCAGGTGCGCCTAGTGACCTCAGCAAAGGCACTGCCACCGAAAGCCCCCTTTTTTGCAATCATAGCAACCAACGTCTCTATTGGAAATTATCAGTTGATTTGCGCTAAAAATCTAGCTATTATTCCTGGTAGTGCATTTCGATGCTTGGTACGGTTGGGCATAGGAACTAGGGTCACCAATGCTTGTACGAGCATACACAAGGAGCCAGTGGCATCACACAACAGTTCGGTATGTGCCGAGCAACCCTTCCAATTTCCTGCTTCTTCTCTTTTTCTAGATAAAAAATGTGGAAATTTAGATGTGCTTCATTTTGGCGACGTGCAGTATTCAATGGTGCCGCCTTCGCACAGTCAAGTTCCTAGGCTCTGCCCAGACTCCCCATGCCATTTGCGTCTTTTCTTAATTGCTCGCTCACGGACAACAGGATCCAGTTATTTCCGCAACGGCTAAAGAATGGCTATAAAATATGTCTACTTTGTGTCCAATTAGCCTTCTCATAGTCCACGGGCAGTGCTTGAGTGTTGCCCCATCAATAAACAAAAGAAGAAGCGCGCCAAAACGCACTATATGCTATATGGGAGAAAACGTATTTAAAAACCGTCTGTAGCTGCCACAGTACTCCCACAGAACCAGCGTGGCTCTTACGTACGGAAGCATATGGTGCCTCGAAATCGAACTCCTGGGGGATAACAAGCTACAGGAGCCTGCGGTGCTCCGTTTACATACTTCACGTAATAGCGAGCTACCGCAAAGGCTGCTGAGAAACTCATCAGCTTGAGTTAATTCCATCTGCATGGATCAACACAGCTCATCCCACTGTTACTAAACTTGAGATTTCGCGTGCAGGCGAGGTCAGCACACGAGAGTCACGAACAGGCACTCCCAGGCTGAATACTACAGTGATAACATTACCAATGATAACATTACCAATTAGGGCCTTTGGTGGCCGTCTTTGGATCACGCAGCCACGGGAACCTATCCCCAGCCTACTTGCAGCAATTGCTAGATGCCCACAGACTAATGCCTTTTGTCCGAAGGAATCTGAATGCCCATGCCAAGTTTTCCTCTCAACAGTCCCATTCATGCAATGTGTCCGAGTTGAAATTAAAAAGCTACTCCAGACGACGCAGAGCAGCAGTATCTGGCTGATATCGGTGGCTTCTTTACAGTGAAACCCTTGCCGGCCTTGGGACTGGCTTTCATGATTACCAGCAATTCTTCATTGCAAATTACCGACTCACACATAAGCCAAAATGTGTCCTCCAGAAGAAACTGACTCATTAAAATGGAGAAAATGGTCCATTAAAGTAGAGTTTGGCCCGTATTCATGTTCCGCTTGGAAAGAGCCAGTAATCTAATTGCATGCATTGAGACCAACCTCGAGGAATTTCAGCAAGCGCTCATGCATTAAGTAAAATAAGAAAGCAGGCGTCTGCAAACAGCTTTTGTATAAGGGAGTCGAGACGTGAAGCTGCTTGAAAGTTATTCGATTTACGAGGAAGTTCCCTCAACAACTACAACATATAAGTTTCCAAACAACACCCGTTCGAAAGCAATTTGACTTACAAGGGAGCTTCTTTATACAACTTTAACACATTGTTTTCCAAACAAAACTTGTTATAGCCTTTTCTTGTACGTCTTCTGCCGTTTTACCGTACACTTGGGGCTTCATGTAGCTCCCAAAACCGAGGACTACGTACAATATCAGAAACTCGTACAGTTTATCAATTACTTGAATTCTCACTTCAGAGCATGCAATTTGGACAAGGCAAAAAAGGTCCTCAAGAATTAAAGGGAAAAAAACCTGATTTGGTTGGTAGCCCTTCACAGAGCCCGGAAAATCGCGCCAATTTAGCGCTACTGAACACAGTGCTCTAGTGTTACTTTTCGGGCCATTTAGTCAGCAGCAGCAAAACAAAGGAGCAAGCTTAAGGTACTTTTAAGCTCGCCAACAACTCCTTTTTAGGAAGCATGGGATTCAACTGGCTGGTTCTGCCGGTCCTCGCTCGCCTCCGACTTCTTGGACTTGTGCGGATGTATCCCAAATGACTTCAGCATTTCCACAAAGTTACACTTATCTGCTTCATTTTCCAAAAGCAACGGAATACAGCTTTCCGTTTTGGAAATATGAAGGCCAACTGCCCTGCATGCACAACGCTGCAGAACTGCTGCTACTCAGCTTGAGGGCTTTCGCTGGCCGTGCAGAAACTTTGCATTTAGCCTCGGCAGACTGCCACAGTTGCACTTTTTGGTGAGCCAAATTAAAGGAGAGAAAGCTTACAAAGGCTCTTGAGCAAAATCTCCCTGGGTTTCCACCCTCGCGAGCTGCTGCGGGGTTGTTAGAATGTTCTTAACTGTGTTGAATGGGACCCAACGCGATTTTTCCTGAGCATTCGCAGAACCTTTGGAGCCGCATCTCATTGAAAATTTTTATTCAATATCACTTCACCACTTCACAGTGCTATGAAAGCATTAGGACTCTGCGAAAATAGCTGTAGAATCATCTAGTTGCTTCTTAAAGGCTTCCGTTGCACCAGTTGGGGAATGAAAACAGTTGAGTAGGCTGTAGACTAGCTTTAAAATGCAGCTTTAGTAACATTTATGTGATGAAGTAGAGAAAAAAATTAAAGCAAGCTTACACCGTTGCGGAGCCTCAGCGAACGGGCCGTAGTGTCCAAGTGGAGAGTGCAGGCCATATTCTTGCCGTTCTGAATGGCCAAGCAGCGCCGCAAAGTAAAAGGGTATTCTATTAAAGGAGGCCAGCATTTAAACTGGACTCTTAAAAGTGTAAATGCTGCAAGAATTCAGGCTAAAGAGCAACTGCTGCTTCTCCTAGCCAAACCTGCAAAACGACTTGAATGGGAATGCCCTCAGCTTCCATGCGCTTCATGAATTGCTTAACAGCAGCTTCACTGCCCTGAAAGCAGCCTAACAAATCCCAAGTCATCTTTTAATAAATTAAAACAGCCATTTAGCACTTTTAAACTCTGCAGCAGATTGCCAGGTATGCTTTCTCTCGGGCTAACGACGCCGCCAGCCTGCACTGAGCTTTCGCGAATAAGTTTATTTCGGCTGGTGTAACTCTGCAAATTAATGCTATGTAATTGTGCAAATTAATGCTATGTAATTGTGCAAATTAATGCTATATAATTGTGCAAATTAATGCTATGTAATTGTGCAAATTAATGCTATGTAATTGTGCAAATTAATGCTATGTAATTGTGCAAATTAATGCTATGTAATTGTGCAAATTAATGGCATGTAATTGTGCAAATTAATGCTATTTTGAGGAGAAACAAAGCTTGACTGCTTGCATAGCCTTGCTGACCAGTTGCTAAAGACTTCATAACGAATCCAACATCTGCACTTAGTGACAGAGTCTGCAGAACATCTTTCTACTATTCGGAAGGCAGGCTGCTGGCCCAGCCTTCTTTGCGGAAATATATTTGAAAGATAAAAAGCTATTGCGCAAGAAAGTGCGCAAGAACTTTCTATGTTTGAAATATATTTCCTAAACATAAAGTATTTCTGGAGCTGACCCCTTGGGTAATGTCCAGTAACACAGGCCCTTGTGAAAGTCATATTGCGCTACAAAATTTGAACTAAATTGCGGAAAACTAAAGATGAAAAGATGTTGCGGATGTTTCGTTTGCTCTACTGAACCTACCGGCTCTTGGTGAGTGATGTAGCAGCAAGAATTTCCCATTGTTTCGGCAGCAGCAACACAAGAATGACCATGGAAATCTACGGAAAAAGAGCCTGGCCGTGGCCAGCCCGGCTGCAACTCTAGCAGCGGGTATTCAGTTCTTTTTATATTTTAAAAATTGTTCCAAAATAGCAGTTTTATCTTCCGAGAATGCCGATTCCGAAGTCTGTTGAGTGTGCGCTGCAAGAGCGGCGAAGTTTCCGTAGAACAGCGCCGCGCGCTGTTCACAGCGCCGCCTAAGTCTTTCAAGCTCTCTTCGCGAGTCCTCTTCCTTTTCCAAAAGTTTATATTTTCCAAAAGTTTGTATATTTTCTAAGGGCGAAAAAGAGCCAAGAAACAGATGCATGCAGGGGAGAAGAGGTTTCGCGAGTGTCCACGCACTGCGCAGTGCGCCGAACCCCGGCCCAGAATTGGCTATTTTCGCCGCTTCTCGCCCATAAATAATCAAATTAGTGTCCCAATAATGCAAAGATTTGCTTTAATTGAATATATTTAGAAGCCTGGAGTTGAAACCGCGCAAGAAATCGCATGTGCACGGTGCGCCGCCTTCCTGTCCATCACAGGGTCACCTTCGCAGGGGGTTCCTCTTTGCCGAAAATGAAGAAATGTCCCGTTGAGCACGCTTAATAATGTTTTTAAAATATTATATTTGTTTGTAATGTTAAAAAAATGAAGATTTGCTGTTTAGAAGTATTTAAAGAAGACAAAAACGCAAAGCCCTGGAATATAAATGCCCGCGCCTTCCGCTGAGGCCAAACCACGGACCATTAATTGCCATTTCTAAGCCATTAATGGCTTTGAAATAGAGAATTCAACAAATGTCTGGCATTTATAAAGTAATTTTATTTTTAGATCCCTCTTGAAGCTGCTGAGAGCAAAAACAGTGAGGGTTATGCCATGATAAACCCTCATTAGCAAACCCCCAAATCTCAAACCCTAGAGCCTAACCCAAAACCCTCAGCCCTAAACCCTAAACGCGAGCTCAAACCCTTGCAGCAGCAACCAGAAACAAATTATGAGCTGCAACTCACTTAAGTGCAACAGCGTCTTCAGATGGCAACTCTTTGATGCACAGTTCTGTAATCCTAAACCCTTAACCCTAAACCCTAAACCCTAAACCCTAAACCCTACGCCGAAAACACCTAACAACCAGCTTAAATTCTGGTTTTAAACTCTCCCGCAAAGTGCCTGAAGTAGCAGCAGCAGCAGTCTCCAGCAAACAGCAGAATGTTACTTGAACTGTTCTTTCCATTTCATTCATTTGCAGTTTTTTTTTAAAGCGGGTAGAGGGAAAAGTAGATTTAATGAAAATAATTTTATTTATTTCAACATTTATATTTGGGCCCCCTTTTAAGTCTTGATTAATAATAAACAAAAGACCATTGATGCGTGCATGCATGCATGCACTTCACCTTTAGCCTTCTCTTACACATGCCACGTAGCAGCAGCAGCAGCAGCAACAACAACAGTAGCTGCTGCTGCTGCTGCTGCTGCTTTGCTGCTGTCCGTACACCCAAACCTGAATCTATGTTTTACTGTATCAACACCCATTTCTGGCGACTTGTCTATATCTGCACCAGTCCTTTAGTCATTTGTTTAATTGCCAGTTTATTTAATTAAGTTATTAAAATATTTTGTGATCTTTTTTATATATTTGTGCAGCTTAGGCTCTTTGGCTGTGCGTACACTGGGGTGTATGTACACCCGCTTCGCTGCAACTTTGCTGGTGCTGCTTTATCTAATTTTGTTTTCATTTATGTTTTCTGTTTATAATGCAAACTTCCATTCTGTTCTTCCATGCCTACATTTGTATTCTTTTCGAGAAAGGCTTTGGCAAATGAATTTACAAAACAAAAGTGTATTTGCATTGTGCACAGAGTGTACGTACAGTTCCTTAGTTTATTACACTTTCACTGATCCAGATATAAAGGTGCATCCAAATATATAAACACGAAACAAAGATTTATTAAGTGCAAATATAGAGTATGTATATAAGTATAAGTATATATATATATATGTATATATATATAATATATATATATATATATAATACATATATACACACATATATATATATGTATATATATATATATATATGCATATGTTAATCTGTGGATGTAGATGATGCAGATTTACAAAGACAATAAGTGCAAAACATAGGGCCAGAATGAGAACTAAAATAAACTTTTGCGAGAGTAAAGAAGTAGGAAGAAGGGCCTGCAAAGGCATTAAATATAAATGTATTTCCCCAAAGTTTTTCAAAAACCTAAAAGCATGCAGAAAGAATAAAGAGATGCGCAGCGGTCAAGAGGAAAATGACGGAAAGAGGGTTAATGAACTCGAGTGTAACTGCACATAAGAATTACCTTGTAATTAATAAACTCGAGTATAGTTTTAAATAAAGATTTCCTGTAATTAATAAACTCGAGTATAATTGCAGATAAAGACTTCCTCTTAGTTTAGAGTTCAAGAAATATGGCTCTTTCGTCTTTGTTCGAGTTTTCTTTGAAGTGCCTTTGTGCAGCATTTGCAGACTCTATAATTTGGAGATGCACAATATTCGTGAGCTTCTCTATTTCTACTTGCTATTTGTATTTGCTTGTTTTTGCATATTAAATAGTTTGTTTGAATATATTTGTACAATTTTTGGGACGAAAAGCCCGATCTACAGTGTATAGACACACGCAGAAATGCACACCTACAGCCGTGACTAGTGCCTGTGCCCTCGGCAGGTCCCAAACTGCTCTTTTCCTCAAAATAATACTTTTAAATATTGTTATTAATTTGAAATATTATTTGTTTTGTTTTTACGCAAAGGACGATCTTGTTTGCTTTCGTCCTTGAGCAAAGGCACGCAGTTGCAGTGTATGTACACTGGCAGCGAGCCACTGGCTGAACAGAAATGGCGCTTTGGAATGCTTGAGATGGTTTGTTCAATCAAATAAAAAGATTTTGTTTTTTAATTCTTTTAAATATTATTTTGTTCTTAAAAGAAGAGAAAATATCCTGCATGCACCAAGCGGCAGCTAGGCTAGGGCTCACAAGGTCACCGGGGCCCCGGTCACCTCGATTCGGCGGCGGGATTGCACGCAAAAATAGATTGGTTTTGTCATTTTGTTAATTTTTCCAATTTTAAATTAAATAATTACAATTTGAAGAGACAAAAACTCAATAACAACCATGGAAAACGCAGAGGGGGCCCGCCCCCCCTCCCCCCTGACAGACGAACCAGCTGCAGCAGCAGCAGCAGCAGCAGCAGCAGCAGCAGATACACCTGAAGAAGGAACAAGTCAAAGTGGCATTGAAAGTCCCACTGCGACTTTCTCAGACTCAGTATCGTCAGGTGTACATACACCCGAAACCCCAGGGGAGGATGATGGCGAGCCCACCACCCCAGAAACAGCAGCAGCAGCTGCAGCAGCAGCAGCAGAGACAGGAGCAGCAGCAGCGGAGCCGGCAGACGCAACAGGAACAGCAGCAGCAGAGCAGCAGGAAGATCCAGCAGCAGCAGCCGCAACAAGCGAAGGAACAGCAGCGGCAGAGCCAGCAGCAACAGCAACAGCAGCAGCAGCAGCAGCAACAACTGCTGCTGAAGCTCCAGCGTCAAACGAAGCAGCAGCAGCAGCAGAAGCAGCAGCGGAAGCTGAGTCTATGCCAGCAGAAACTGACCCTGAAGCAGCAGCAGCAGCAGCAGCAGCAGCAGAAGCAGCCGGAA